GTTGAATACAAAGCGCCCGCGATAGTGTCTAATTGTGCTATAGACACTGAATAAATATTAATTTTACCTTGGGAAGCCTCGCTGATACGTTTTTTCAGGATGGTGCTGCAGGCAGAGTCGAACCATACAATTATTAAATTACCGGTTTAACCGGTTATGTAGAGTACATGAAAAAAACCCTGCGCCTTCCAGATTTTGGAGTAACCCGTTTAATTGGCCACGATCCCTCGCCTATTTAACCAGTACGGCGAGAGAGGACAACTCGAAGGCTCATTTTGCCGTGGTCCGTCAGTGGCAACTCGTGCGTAGAGCTTGGTACTCGCCTCAAGATACTGGCGAGACACACCGAGACATTCGCTGAGACACTGCATTCACTCATACACTCACTGAGACAGAGACATTTCACTCACTGAGACACTCACTTCACTCACAGACACTGATACATTTCACTCACTATAAGACACTCACTGAGATACTTCACTCACTGAGGCATTCCCTGAGACTCAGAGAGAGAAGCAGGCATCGACAGAGGTAAATTTTTGCAGTAAACATTTTCCTTTCGAATGTCACAGTAAAATGTGATTCAAGGGGTTAACCGAAGCGTTAACTTGAGCATAATTATTAAGTTGATAAATGCTCGATTTAAAGCTTTCGTGGCTGCAGGGATTCATCTTATTGGTTATTTCGGTAAAGTCACGTAGAAGGGAAATAATAAAATAATAAAAATGAAACATTTTATTATGTTTTTTTTATTAAGATTTATTTTTATTATTTTATTATTTCCCTTCTACGTGACTTTACCGAAAGAACCAATAAGTTAATAAACGCTCGATTTAAAGCTTTCGTGGCTGCAGGGATTCATCTTCTTGGTTCTTTCGGTAAAGTCACGTAGAAGGAACATAATAAAATAATAAAAATAAAACATAATAAAATAATTCTCACGACGTTTCGGCCACAACGCAAGCAGCCGTCTCTCGACAGACCTGTTCTCCACCTGAAGACGGCTGCTTGCGTTGTGGCCGAAACGTCGTGATAATTATTTTATTATGTTTTATTTTTATCATTTTATTATTTTCCTTCTACGTGACTTTACCGAAAGAACCAAGAAGATTAATAAATGCTGTTCAGTACTCTGGTTCTTTCGGTAAAGTCACGTAGGTATAACATAAATACTGCTGTTCAGTGTTTATTGCTTCGTTTTGTTAGATTTGGGGCACCGTGGTGGCGAGATATTATCTACCTCGCCTGGTATACAGGAGGACGTGGGTTCGATCCCGACACCTGCTGTATATTTGGAGTTCGCGGTGTCTCCCCGTGGTCGCGTGGATTGTTCTCTTGGTCTTCCGGTTTTCTCTGTAAAACTAGAAACATGCGTTTAGATTATTTGGCTGCTATAAATTTCCAGATGATTAGCCACTTCAAGATATAATTTGTGGCCAGGTCGCTTCTGAAAAATAGCTAATAGTTCAATGGGCTTTACCAAGTACTGTAAATAAAATATTTTAATTTAAAGTGAATGAAACATTTTACGTATAGCAAACCCTTGCGGTAAATGTATAGCGGCACAGGTATAATGCTTACAGGAAATGTGGCTGTCAACCGCCAAAGGCAAACTGTACCTCAATAAATTTGGCGCAAAACCGCGATAGCTAAACCTTGCGAGAGGAAATGGTTTGCTATACATTTACGCTTGTATTAATACAAACACCATGAACAATCAAGTAATACAATAAATACTGTACTAGGGGGAAATAATTCACCTTCCCATCTTTGCTAATGAGACTTACGTTGCTGGATTATTTAGTTCTGTAAAGCCTACAGGCCGATGAACTCAATTCTCAGGTAACGATTGTAGTGACCCAAAAGGGCTCCCGGCTGAGGGGAGCGGGGAAACAGAGGAGGGTGAGGAGGAGACATTTTTGCTTTTGGATAACGGGCGGGAGTTGTCGGGGCAAGGGGAGCGTGGGTATGATGTGCCGGTGACATAAGGTGATGTGGCGATGACATAAGGTGATGTGCGGTGACATACGGCGATAAGGGGACCGACCATCGGGGACCGGGGAGAAATGGGGTGATACTGATGGAGAGGAAAAGAGGTGGAGCGAGGAAGAGGGTATAAAATATCACGGGAGGATGTGAGTTTATCTCTCCCTTCCAGTCACCCGCAGTGCTTGATGTATATGCCTGGTGTGGCATGTTTGCGATGTGTCCTGTGGTGGTGTATCTGTGTTTATCTGATACTAGCTTGTTTGCCCGACCTAGGACGGAAGCTGTAATATTTGCGAAAAAATTGAGCAGAGTATAATTGTATCTTGTGTAAATTTAATGGCACAAAAGTATGTGTGGGGGCTGACGCCCCCCTTTTCCTCTCCCCCCTCCTCCTCGGCCACTTTATGGCCGGGCTGCAGCCGATCGCATGATCGGCCCCCCCGCACCAGTGTCCTCTCTGAGGGACATGGCTAAGTGGCTGGCTCACCACCGTCCGGAGTTATCCCACACTCCCCACGTACACCACCACTAATGCAGAGGTGGCTGCGTGCTCGCGCGTGCCTGCGTAGGCTCACCTTCGCTCACCACGGCTTGTGCTAAAAATAAAAATAGCCGTATGAATATGCACATGCCCCTCCCCCCTCCTGTTGGGTCAGCCTTAATCCGCTGTACAAACACGCACGCGGGCATAAGCACTCGGGCACAACGACGGCCGTATTGCTGATAATATACGCACGCCCCACCGTTAATGCGATCGTCGCTATGTAAACACACTGCGTAAAACGCGCTGTGTAAACACGCACACGAGTGTCAGCGACCGTTTATGATGGAATACATGCGCGCTTGACACGCACATACTCACACCACACCTACGCTCTCCCCACACACACAGAAATCACGCGGCGTCGGTGCTCTGTGCTCAAGTTTATTAATGGCGCGTCGATAAAAAAAGACCCTGCGTGGCCCGGAGCAAAATTCTCAGCGAGCAGCGCCAAGCCTATTCCTATTCAATTCCTGGGTGGACTCTTACTCTACTTCTCACCTCGCGGTGGGAATCGGAGGGACGAGGGTACGAGAGGACTCTGTCTGGGGTCCAGTCGTAGCAGCACTCGCCAGCGTCCCTCGGACGCTTCGAGCGGCTGGGAGTCCGACCGGGTAGCTGAACGGCTGGAGGAGAACTGCCCAACGTTTTTTTCCCTCCCTCTCATGCCCTCGGAATCCAAAAATCCAGGGTCATGTGGTGTTATCCTGCGCGGCCAGTCGGGTGCCTACTTATTGATTTTCAACCGATGCCCCGCCCCTACTTGGAGCGTCGCTTTCCATTACGCCTTGATCCATTGTCTACGCGCCAGTCCTCCCCACCCCGGAATCAATCGGTTTGATCGGGGCGGTCGTCCCGGGTCCATAGCGTCAGTCAGTCCAGGAATTTCCCTCCCACCTCCTCTTATGCGCTGCTCGCTGGGTGTTTGCCCCCAAGGCCCTATCTCTCTGTGCTGTGAGTGTTCTCATTGCGGTTCGCTCGGTGAGCTTCGTCGTGCCCATACAACTTTAAGCCAATTCACGGGGGCCGCAATGCAATTTGGCCTGGGGGGGGTCAGCCAATCTCCTGGCACTGGGAAACCGTGGGACATCCCCGCTAGGGGCCCCTCGGGTAAAAACCCGTGGTACCAGGTGACCCCCCCACGAGACCCTATGTGGGTGCATGTGTGTGTTTAGTTGGGGTGTGCGTGCGTTCGTGTAGAGGGGTGCAAGGGGATAGCAGCACCGGCGGAGTTGCTCCGTTGCTGTGGCACCACATATGTCATCCAACACTTGACTGCATTTCACTGGAGTACTGTATTAATGGCAGTGATTCTTGCACAAAACTACGTCATAAAACACCTCACTTCATGTCACTGTAGCACTGTATATAACTGACCTTCAATTTATTCAAATTCACTGCTCTGATACTTTATTCTCTTCTGCTTTCGGTCGCTGGGGTTGAAATAAATTGGAATAAGATACAATATCTGCAAAATCACCAATAAATGTTTATTTTACCATAATGTAGAAGCATAAATTAGACTTAACTTACGTCTCAAGTGTTGAATGAATAAATAAAGACAAAATCCACTTTGTTGCTGCGTAGATTTATTTATTATATTTACTTTCAATAAAGAAAACGTCCAACTTAAAGCGAATTTCCCAAAAAATATATTTCCGCTCGACCTTCTGCGTGAGTGTAAAAATCCACCCGCTCATGAATATTAATGAGGTGGGGGGGTGCGGCATGTGGATTGACGTCACGCGCGTTACACACAAACAGGCATTCTTGGCTCATTATAGTAGTAATGGTGTAATGTATCTGGTTTGTGTAGTTTTACTGTGGTGTGTAATGCTGGCGTAATGTATCCGAACTGCTGTATCGTATCTGTATGGTATATCGAATGTGGTGTGTGGGGTGAATTATGTTTAGTGCAGGGGTCGGCAACCAAAAAAACAAGAGGAGCCATTGTTTTCGAATTAGTAAAAAAAACTAATGTGAATATGAGATAGTCCTTAATAAATAACGTCATGAAGCAGTCCTTAAAGAGCCGCATGCGGCTCTGGAGCTGCCGGTTTCCGACCCCTGGTTTAGTTCTAGATTTGGTTTAGTGTTGTGTAGTGTAGCGGTTAACGCTACGCTGCGCTACAAACCCGGCTACACAAGTTCGATTTCTGCTCACGGCCAACACCCGTGACGATCATCTGAACTGATCCTCGGTCTCCCCTAGGTCGACTCAGCTTCACATGAGTACCTGGTGCGGTGTTTAAACGTTGCCATAAGGGAGACAAAGGCGGCCAGGCGTGGTTCTGGCCACCCACCCCATCGTGTGCTATATCGGCCTTTGTAAGCGCTCACTGACAGTACTTGTCCTGACAACTTGTTAACCTTGGCTATACGGGAGATCTTTGCCTCTGTACGTTTAGTGTGGTCTATACGTGCGCTATATTTTTACTCCCTCATGTCCCCTCTCTCTGTGTCCACTCAGCCAAGGGAAGACGATGGAGACTAAGAGCTCACGACCCTCGCAGGTAACCCCTATCCCCACCACCCGGGACTCCAGACAGACGACGACTCTCATATAGCCTGGGAGCAGCAGGTTGGTGCAGATTAACATATGTGCCCCACAGAAAGAAGCGCCTGGATTCGATTTCAGACTCGGGCGATTTTTGCTGTGTGGAGCTTCATGTTATCCTCCAGTTCTACATAGGTTTTCTCTGGCTCCTCCGGTTTTTATCCATTGGTAAAAAAAAGTACTTTTGAACTAGTTTTGGCTAAACATCCCAATGCTGAAGATGTACAATTTGGATACGCATTGCAACATCGGTCACTTCTGCAAGAATCGAGACTCAGTGAGGGTTTCCTGGGTAAACAACCATAATGATAAAGTATGCAAACCTCCATTAACTAAAGTTCATAGGTTATAGGCAGATTAACACACGGCGAATTTTGTATTCTTTTTAAAAATTATACTTTCCTTAATTATCATTGTTGATGCCTCCGGCTTGCAAGTGACTATAAATTCATTGTATGCATGTCTTTTTGGGGAGCAGTGGCATGTTAATTCACGCACTATGCTACAAACCCAGTAACCGGAGTTAGATTCCCTTCATAATTGCTCACTATCAGCACTTGTCCCAACAGTCTATGCAGGTAATACAGGGGATGTTTGTCTTGTTACGTTTGAGTTTTTGTGTATCTTTGAGTATGTACGTGAGAAGAGAGTGGGTGTGTGTGCACCGGTGGGTAGTGTGATTATGACCAGCTCTGGTCTGGTAGCAGAGGTCTGACTCTTGAGTCGAGATCCATTATTATTTCATCAGATGGGTAATGCTGTGTCGAAGCTACCTGGCCTGTTGCTCCTCACGAATCTTTGGGTCTTCTTGGCCACAGTTATGCCCTCTCTTCTCTATGCTTGTGAAATGTGGATCCCTCTAATTGAACATCTACACCAGTTTGAAACATTCAGGCTGGTCTGACTTATCCTGGGTTTTACAGGTTGGATTGTATGAAGAGCTCAAAGAACCTTAAAAGATCTGGACACAGTCCCATCGTTAAGCTCACTCGTCAGACAAGACAGAGTTGGCTAGGTGATGTAGCCTGCATGCCCAGCCACTGCATATTTAAGCAATTTTAGTTTGGCCGAATAGAGGGGGCTAAACAGGCGCAGGATGGGCTAGAGAAGAGATAAGAGATGGGCTGATGTGGTAAGGGAGGACATGGACTTGTGGCCTCTGTGGGGGAGGCTCGTGAAGGACACTACTGGGCTGTTGGAGGCAGTCGCCCTCCAACAATGTCATCAACGTCCACTCATTACCACTGAAATCACCTACACCCTCGTCTACAGTGTAGTTGGGCCTTGCCACGATTACTCCAATTCCGTCATCGAGTACCCTCAAGGAACTCCCAATGGTTGCAAAACAATCTCGCCTGCGTCCTCCTTGGTGTCCATCATCCTTGGCTGGATTCCCTCGACTCCCTCTGCTCCCTCCACTGGCTTCCCATCGCCAGCAGGGTCAACGGCTCCCTTGCTTTCAGTAGTCCACCTGATCACTCTTCGCTCCTGTCATGCTGCACTGCAGTTCACGGTAGAACTCTCCTCCCACAAATCACAACCTCCTTCCTTTCTACACCGAGGACAACGACCGTCAACTGCCGGACATCGTTTCTACATGGCAACCCTCACCAACTGGAATGCCATCATCTTGCTTTACAATAACAACATTCAATCTGCACATATTTTTGTAATATGAGGCTATATCCGGCTCACTGACGTATCACAACTCGTCATGGTGATTGGCTCTGCCGGTGCTGGTTTACAGCCAATGGGGGGGAAGCCTAGGGGCATGGCCCTGACGTGATGGAGAGGTGACAGCTATGGAGATTGGTTCTGCTGGCTTTGGCCTCAGCCAATGGGGTCAGGGGCGTGGTCCCATGAGCTGACGAGGGAGCCTGGAAGATTCAATGCAGGCTAACGAGGATTGGCTGAAGCGTACCACGTGACCCAGGTATTAAATAGGGGTAGAGAGGAACGACACGTGGTCAGAACGGGAACGAACGGAGGGAGGGGCCACGCGGGAGCGGGGCTCCGAGCTGCCACGTGGCAGTGCGTCTCTCTCGGTCTATCTGTTCCCTTCACGTTGCCTATCAGCAGCGTGAAGTAACTGTAACCTAAAGTGAATAAAAGACGGATCCCAGAAGTAGTCTCAAAGAGCTTTATTACATTGGTGTCAGAAGTCTCTTCTGGGACCGTTTGGACGATCTTTCAAGATGTCCAAGCACCTCAGAAAAAAGAATCCACCGGACCCTCCGTCGGAGGAAGAAGTTGAGACGGACGAGGACGAACTGCTGGGAGCTACGGCTCCTCTGCCTCCGGCTGCTGCTCTCCTCGGCGCCGCTCATCACCGACAGGCTGCAGAAGCGACGGCCTCAAATGCGGACGAAGGATGGCGGCTAATGGCGGAGCAGATCGAGTCGCTCCGCGCGATTTTTCTCAGTCTGGTGACGGCGGTCGCATCCTCAACTGCTCTAGGTCGGCCGCCGGGGTTTCAGCCGAGTGCCGAGGACCAAGATTTTCAGCGGGAATCGACGTCCGCCATTGCTCCTGCCGCGCGGGGAGAGGCTTTCATCTTGGACGGGGCGGCTGTGATGGAGCTGCCGGACGCCATCTTGGGTAGGGCTGTCACCACGCGGCCGCCAGACACCATTTTGACGGAGACGCGAAGAACGCGGGAAGCGGGAATAGAGACACTCGAGGCATCGGCCATTCACCGCGGACATCGTCTTCCTCAAATTAAGGAATTTATCGCCGGGGGCGATTGGAGTGCCTTCACATGGTGCTTCGAGTCGACCTTTAGATCCGTTTGATGGACGGAGGCGGAGGCACTGGAGGCGCTGCCCACGCTGCTGGATGATGTCTCCCTGGCGGTCTTCCGATCCATCCCGGCGACCAAGAAGAAGACACTTCGTGATGCTTTCACAGAGATGGCGGAGTTTTACGACCCGCCGACGGTGGTTACCAGAAAATGTATGTCACGTCGTCGAGGATCAGAGGAATCGCCCTTGGCCTACCGGGGGGCGCTGTTAGCGTTGGCCATGGCCGCCTACCCCGACTCGACGGCTGATCTCCTGGATCCTCTCATCCTTTCCCGAATGCTTGAGCTATCTCATGAACTGAACATCTCGCTGCCGGTATGCGGCCATGAACTGCTCACGTCGTGATGGGTGGCACGCTGCTTGGATGCTAAGTTCAATCTGAAGCGCTGGGATCAGATGGCGGCATGGACGGGGAACCCCCAAATAGACGGTCCACCGTTGGGGTGGTTTCCACGGCGGGTCGTCCACTGCTCCGATGACTCCGGCGACGACGAGGTGGTGGCTGCTGTTCCGTGCTGGGTCCCGAGACGCCGGTCGACCACGTGCAGGGCCCGGGACGAGCGACCGCCGGGCGACGACGGCCACGTGCTTCAAGTGTGGCCGACGGGGCCATTTCGCCCGCGATTGCCGCTGCCGGCCTCTGCCTTCTCCGCTTCCGTCGAGTTGACTTCCATCTCCTCCACCGGGTGCGGATCCACGACACCCTCGGCCGAGTCGGCACAAATCGGACACCCGGCAGATGAACAGGTTTTGAGGGACAACGAGACCCCCGACGTTTCTCCTCCAACGGGACCTATCCCAGATACGACCGAAACCGAACATTCTTCTTTTTCTTCTCCACGGCAACCACCTCCTGCAGATCGGGGGGCGAGGCGACCATGCGCGAAAAACGAGAGGGTCCTGCGTCACGTACGCGGTCGAAATTTCTTCCGTTTCGTTAGTAATGATTGCCTTGCGGTCTGTTACCCTGTTGTTACTGCGCTACAGGGGCGCCCTAATGTATGTCTGTTGTTAATGGTTGAAGTCCTTGACGCGTAGACGCCTATTCCCCCCCCCCTTACCTTGTCAATGCGTCTCAGACGCCCTAATAATTATCTAAATTGGATTCGGCTTGTCACCCTTTTCCCAGCCGAGACGGCTGACTTTTTACACCGGGGGGGGGGGGGGTGATGTAATATGAGGCTATATCCGGCTCACTGACGTATCACAACTCGTCATGGTGATTGGCTCTGCCGGTCCTGGTTTACAGCCAATGGGGGGGAAGCCTTGGGGCATGGCCCTGACGTGATGGAGAGGTGACAGCTATGGAGATTGGTTCTGCTGGCTTTGGCCTCAGCCAATGGGGAGATGAGTCAGGGGCGTGGTCCCGGGAGCTGACGAGGGAGCCTGGAAGATTCGATGCAGGCTAACGAGGATTGGCTGAAGCGTACCACGTGACCCGGGTATTAAATAGGGGTAGAGAGGAACGACACGTGGTCAGAACGGGAACGAACGGAGGAAGGGGCCACGCGGGAGCGGGGCTCCGAGCTGCCACGTGGCAGTGCATCTCTCTCGGTCTATCTGTTTCCTTCACGTTGCCTATCAGCAGCGTGAAGTAACTGTAACCTAAAGTGAATAAAAGACGAATTCCAGAAGTCGTCTCAAAGAGCTTTATTACACTTTTATGAGACACTTAAAAGGCCCACCTCTATCGCCTAGCTTTCAAGTGAAACTGAGCTTGGCTTCGGGCCTCAGTCACAGTCAATTATGTCTGTCAATTATTCTGCTCGTTAAAAACGGCATGATTATTATTAATCCACTGCTGGATGAGAACCTTCCCATGCTGTGCTGATTGTAGGTGTTATTTGGTAATACCTCTCCATGCTTGCCAGTGTATATTATGTGTGTATATCTGTGTGTGTGCAGGGAGTGGCGCCCAGCTTGTGCCCTCACAGTGCCGTGTCTCGCAGGGCGCGCTTCGTGAATCTGCGAAATATAGAGACGGGACACGAGTTCCGAGATACCCTGCACCTGCAAGGGAATAAGGTTCCCTATACACCCTGCACACACTGCAGACACTGCACACACTGCACATCCTGCACACCCTGCACACTTCACACACTCCAGACACCCTGCATACCTCGAAAACCCTACACACTCTGCACACCCCAGACACCCTTCACATCCTGCACACATATAAGGCAGCAATTGGGAGCTATTCAATTTTAAATCATCTAGATTGAAAACTATTTTTTTTAGAACTGCTTTTTGTGTTCAGTTTGTTTTCCTTCCCCCGCACCTCGCATTACCACGGTTGGCGGCGTACGGTGCGAAAGAAGTTTAACATAATTCACACCCTGCACACCCTGCATACCCTGCATACCCTGCACAGCCGGTACAGCTCCGTTCCGCCCTGATCACCATCTTCACCCCCACAGCCCGTCAGCTGCATGGGAGGGATATGCAAAGGCTCCATCATGTCCCCCGAGGAGCTTACGTGCCCCAGCAGGGCCTCCCCCAAACCACGCGCGGAGCTACTGGAGGAGGCGCAGAAATTCATCACTCAATACTACTCCTCCATCAAACGGTCTGTCAGCAATTACTTGTTTACTCATTTATTTATTCATTGATTTCACTCCTACCCCACCCACGCACTCATTCACTCATATTGTAACTCGTTTGTGCACACACTCATCGTACGCATGCCCACACTTTCATTCATTTATGTATTCATTCACCTGCGAGCTTTGCCCACTGTGTCTGAACAAGGGTATTCCTCAGCTCTGGATGTCGAACCCCACAAGAGTCGTGGTTTGCTCCCGGGTGCCATGTTCCCTGTGCAGGCAGGACTCCGATGCACACACGGAGCGACTGATGGAGGTGGCACGAGCGGTGGAGGAGAGTGGTACCTATTCTCTCACAGACACTGAGCTCATCTACGGGGCCAAGACCGCGTGGCGCAACGCAGCCAGGTGCATCGGCCGCATCCAGTGGTCCAAACTGCAGGTGACTGTGAGAATGAGAGAGTGAATGCAAGGGAATGGCAAGTGATTGTGAGAAAGTGGCAGTGTTGTGGTTATCTCACTGCGCTACGAACCCGGTGACCCGAGTTTGATTCCCGAACCAATGGTGGGTCTTCCTGACTTCAACATCATCAGGGAGACAAAGGTGACCAGGCGTGGTCCTGACCACACCATCCCGCCATTTGCCGTGCCAGCTAACTGCACGTTCCCCAAAAGTCTATTAAAGGCTTCTTTGGTTCTTTCGGTAAAGTCACGTATAAAGATAAAATAATAAATTAAATAATATTATTATTTTATCTTTATACGTGACTTTACCGAAAGAACCAAAGAATAATTCCTGCAGTCACGAAAGCTCCAAAATTAAGATTCTATTAAAGGCTGTATGGGGGATTTTTGTGTACCATGGGTCGAGTGGTGGCACCATAGATAGCGTGGTTAACATGCTGCACTATGAACCTGCCTACTTGAGTTTGATTCCCGCACACAACCAACACCAGTGGTGAATATCTGAACTAGTCCTGGCCTCTCATAGGTTGACTCAGCCTTAAATGAGTATCTAGGAGATATGTAAACATCAGCACTGGGGAAACAAAGGCGGCCAGGCCTGGTCCAGGCCACACCACCATCTTGTGTGCTATACTGGTATTCATATGTGCTTGCTAACAGTGCTTGTCCCAAGAACTGAACAGACTATAAGGGGATCTTTGTGTTTGTTATCACAGTAAGTTAACACTGGGAACCACAGGTGGTGGCATCTAGCAGTCATCTCAGTCATTTATACCATGACACCTGGGTCTGTCTCGTGACCTTCCAGAGAACATACTTCACTCCACGTGGCCGCAAAGTGTGTCATTTAGTGTGGCACAGGCTCGGCTTTGCTATTTATCTGAATTTGTCCTGGTTGACTCAGTCACTCAAAATGGACAAAAATAAAACAATTTTCAAAGTAATTGAGAATAGCCGACAGTGCAATTACAAATGTATGAGTTAATGAATGAATAAACTGATTAAATTAATTACAGGTTATGGAGGATTTTTCATATTCACAATTTAATTGATAATACCAGGATAACGGCTGTGACCAACTCTCCCTGAACGTGCCGATCTCGTCAGATCTTGGAAGCTAAGCAGGTACAGCCTGGACATTAATTGTGCTGGTGACCACTATGTATAGCAGGACTTTTATCGGTGGCTTCCCAGCTATAAGCTGCACTGGCCAGTGTATAGTCAAACTAACCCGCACAGTCTGCACAGCGTGGGTAGGCCCTCATCCAGCAGTGGATTAACCTTAACTCTAACTTGTATGTGTACTCCAGTGACAGCTGCCACCACCACACCGTGACCCCTCTGTCAATGTTTCAGCATCTTGAACTCATACAAATTCTCGCTGTGCCGGCAGCTGTTTGACGCGAGACACTGCAACACTGCAAGTGACATGTTCACTTATATCTGCAACCACATCAAGTATGCAACTAACCGGGGCAATATACGGTGAGCATTTCCTGCAGCTACTACCTGTGTGAGTTTTTGATTGTTCACCACTTTTTGATCACACTTTTACCTGTTCACCTATCCACCTGCTTACCAACGTATCTGTTTATTTTCCCACTTGTTCACTTGCTCACCGGTTTGCCTGTTTACCAGCTCACATGTTCACTTGCTGACACGTTCACTTGCTCCACTCCCTATTTCTTCGCCTGCTCATCAACTTACTCATATTTTCACTGGATCCAGTTTGCCAGCTCGCAAATGGAACAATATTAATTTGGTAAAATTTGTATTAGCGCCATTATTATCGTACAATGCTATAACGAAGAGTAATCCACACATTTAATAATTAGGTACGAACAACATGTTATTCAAATGTGTTATTTTTTTACAGTAAATTGTTAAATGTGTGGGTTATATTTTAACATTCTGGTGTATTGAAACAATAAAATTACGTGTTCACATTACAACTACATTTTTTGGCTGTATTCGGTGGAGGAGGGATTACAAACCATAATAGTATTGTGCTTTTGCGATCTAACCCAAAAAAACTATTATGAATTGAACTAATGATTAGTTTCCTGGAAGGCACAAGTTTTACCACTGCGCCACCATGCCTCCAACAAATTAAAGAGTGAATGTAAATGTATGTCCATGATCATTTAATTCGCTCTCACACAAAGACGGGCGATTTGTATCTGACCTTTGCATCCAAATCATCTCCCACTATTATTAAATTCACTCAATGAGCAGTTCTAATCTCATAATTATATAATTTTCCCATCAAACATTTAACATCCTATTCAAATGTGTTTTTTTGTTAATAGACAGTATCTTTAATTGTTCTTATTTACAGCACCGTGAGCACCTCAATGTGTAATCGTTGCTGAGACCTGACATGTTGTATTCTTTTAAATGTCCATTGCTCTTAAATACAAATGACTAATTCAAAGGGATGCTGTCGTGATGTCAAGGTGAGCACACTGGAGTTTGCAATCCAGTGGTCGCTGGTTCAATGTCTTGGTGTGGCAGTTGATGCAACAGGAAAGTTTATTAAAGCCCCACTGCCACCACCTCTGTCCCCGCGGCAGATTAAATGAGTTCACCACAGTTCGTCAATCGGCAGGTCATGTCCCAAATGTCTATCTAGCATGGAAGAGTAGGCCTAAAATACTCGAGAGGGGTTCTCCAGAGCTCCCTCTTTTGGAGAACCTTTCCACCATTGGCGTGACAAGGAAATTGCAGGGCTGCACCATTACCTTTTTTACTGATGTAAATTAAGTAAGTCACATTGCGAGATCATGACTCTTGCTCCATTTTTATCGTCACCAGTCACATTCAAAGCCGCCACCACCTCTTACGGTCCATAGTTTTAATACAAAGGTGGTCAAGCGTGCGTGGTGCTGAACTGACACCACCGCCCTCTCTCAAGCTTGCCGTGATACCCTAACACCTTAACAGGCGCTCGCTAACAGCACATCTCTTCACCACCAGCTCTGCCATCACGGTGTTCCGGCAGCGCATGGACGGGCAGCACGACTTCCGCGTGTGGAATTCGCAGCTGATCAGCTACGCGGGCTACAGGCAGCCCGATGGCTCCGTCCTGGGGGACCCGGCTTACGTGGAGTTCACAGAGGTGGGGGCATGGGAGGGTGCGGGGGGGGGGCTGTTTCCCCGTGTCGTATATATGTTACTGTGTCACTGTGCCCCCGTGTTCCCATGTCCTCGTGTCTCCGTGTTTCTCTGCCCTCATGTTCCCATTCCTGTGCACCCCCGCGTCCCGTCGTTCCTTTGTCTCCATGCCTCATGTCCCCATTTCCTTGGTCCACGTGTCCCTGTGTGACTGTGCCTCCGTGCCATCCTGTGTGCACGCATTTGTGCTATCCTTCAGCTGTGTGTGGAGCTGGGCTGGCAGCCCCCCCGTACACGCTTCGACGTGCTGCCCATGGTGCTGCAGGGGAACGGGGAGCCCGAACTCTTTGTGCTGCCACCTGAGCTGTTGCTGGAGGTGCCCATCCGACACCCCAAGTAAGGACAACACAGATGCAACAACATCACCAGCCATCAATTGCCATAAAGTGGCGGTAACATCACCATGACGCTTGTGCCAGGCCACGTGCACTCTGAGACTATGTGAAGTGTCGAAGGCTCGCTGACAGGAGATCATGGGTTGACTGACTGCGCCCGCTACTTTGCCAACTTGCTATATTTTATCCGCCCGGTGCTCCGCTTGTTATTGTGAGCGTCGCTCCTCTGCCCTCTGTTTTGTTGGAGGGCGACTGTCTCCAACAGCCCAGTGGCGTCTTTCACGAGCCTCCTCCATAGAGGGCGATCTTGACACCGCTGCTACCAGTCATCCCCAAGTCCACTCAGCTCCACATCCTTCTGTACCGCATCAGTCCATCTCTTATACAGCCTATGTCGTGCCCGATTATCCCCCTCTATCTGACAAGACATAAGCTGTTTGGGCATACGATGGCTGGGCATGCAGGCTACATGACCCAGCCAACGCAGCTTTGCCTGCTGGAGGAGCTCACTGATGGGAATATGTCCAGATCTTTCAAAAGGTTTGTGAGCTCCTCACACAATCCAGCCTGGTTGAACCCGAGATGGATTGTTGGCAGGCCAGCCTCAATGTTTCTAACTGGCACAGATGTTCCTTTAGAGAGCACCAAATAGCTTTGCATGGAGCGACAGGCCAGGCAGCTTCCATACAGCGTTACGCAGCTGATGAAAAGATAATGTCGCCCGACTGATTCAGAGTGAGACCTCGGCTGCGAAACCAGAGCTGGTCAAAAGCACACTGCCCAAGAACGAAAACTTTTCCACTCTCTCTACAACTGCACCATCATTCATGGGGATTGATGGAGGGGAGCATTTGATAACATAAAATACCCAGGCAGGTGCTTCGTTTTTGTGCGGCTGATGTTAAGGCCCCATCACTTTGTAGTATGCTCCAGGTTCAGCAGTAGCACCTCCAACTCTTCCTCAGAGTGGGCGATCATCAGATCATCCACATGCATGCATGTATGTTGAACTTCTTTCACACTGTACATAGCCAACTGTGCTAATCGCATACATACACATACACACAGATATATGCACACACATGCACACATACAAATATACAGATAGTCCTCAACTTACGAATACCTGACTTACGAACACCCGTACTTACGAACCAGCTTCCACGATTTTTTAACATTAACTTAAAACAGGAACTCGCAATTACAAACTGAACTGCAGAACTATTTTGTTCAGTGGAGGGATCCTCCGCGAGATGTAATGAGTCAGCCTATGTGTGTGTGTGGAAGTGAGTGTGAGGGAATAGTAGTGTAGCGGTTAGTGTGCTGCTCTACAAACACAGCGATCCGAGTTCAATTCCCGATCACGGCCAACACCAGTGACGCCTTTGTATCCTCAGTGGCGATGTTTACACACCGCACCAGGTACTCAATTGAGGCTGAGTCGACCTAGGGGAGGCCCAGGACTGGTTCATATAATCGTCACTGGTGTTGGCCGTGAGCAGGAATCGAACTCGGATCGCCGGGTGTGTAGCGCAGTGTGCTAACTGCTACACCATTGCCCATCACTTTTTGCCAAAAAAGTCCTGTAGATATAACTGCTTAATCTGAGATATTTTTAATACTTTGATACCTTCTCTAGTCTAACATTGGTGAGACAAGGCCATAAAGAAGGCTTTCTCTTATATAGGTCTTTCAAAGATGATGCATATATTATCAGAGCATGTTTGCATGTTTTGCCACAAGTATATGTGGTTAATGCAAATTTGATGCCTTGCAATAGGTATTTATTTGTTGTTTAAACATTATAACACCTGCTTTATTGCCAGAAAGGATAAAGCCTATTCTTATTTTTTCATGATTTAGTGTTTAGTTTATTTGGCATACAGTACAGTACTTATTTAAATTGTGATGTATCTAGATTTTCTTGCCATATACCTAACCCCATTATTTAAGAAAGGCTTTAGTATTGAATATCGCGATTTTGGCTTTTGTGGAACTTTCTCAGAACGTAACTCCTGCGATATTCAATGGTCTCCTGTACATATCGAAAAACACATTTTACTAATCATGCAGCAGTCAGACTGTAGACTATGGAGTCATGTGGTCTGCAGTGCGATATCCCTCTCCCTAACCGTGTATTTAAAACTAAATTATACATGTTTACCCAGGAAAAGCTCACTCACTAAGTCTGAAGTCTGTTTTCAGGAAGTTCCTGCCAAGTGTTCGCAGTAGGCAGCGATGTTACTGTGTATACGCCAAATGAGGTAATTTTCAAGACATGTTTAAGCATTGGGATGTATTGCCAATACAACTTACATTGGTTTTTTTAGCTATGGGAGGAAATTAGAAAACCCAGAGGAAATCCGTGCAGAACATTGTGGAAGAACATACAAACTCCACGCAGAAAGGTGCCCGAGTCAGGAATCAGGCAAATCTTGCTGTGAGGCATAAGTGTTACCACTGTGCCACGATGTCGCCCGTGCATCACTTGCACCCCCTAAATATTGCTCCTTCCTCTGCCAATGTTCACACCCCCCACCCCAATGTGGACTCTTAACTCCACTGCAAGAGAATGGTTTATAGATCAAGCCAGATGCGAGTAAGCCTGATCCATAAAACTAATTTATTGCATCCAAATGTAATAATGTGGAGCCACATTGACGCATGCACACATCTAAACCCACGACCTCCCGCCGTGACACCGAATCGTAGGAGAAGCAGGAGGGACATTGAACGTGCAGGTATGGGTGTGTGAGTGGGCATATGTATGGGGAGCGGCAGTGTAGTGGTTAGCGCACTGCGCTATGAACCCAGCGACCCGAGTTCGATTTCTGCTCACGGCCAACACCAGTAACGATTATTTGAACTGGTGCTGGACCTCCCCTAGGTCGACTCAGCCTGAAATAAGTACCTGGTTTGGTATGTAAACATTGCCACTAGGGAGACAAAGGCGGTCGGGCGTGATGCTGGCCACCCACCCCCTCGTGTACCGTTCCGGCCTTCATAGGTGCTCGCTAATAGCACTTGCCCCAACAGTCTGTTAAGGCTGTACAGGGGATCTTTTAATATTTTATTTTCCGTCGCCCTCGCCTTTTGATCATAATGTTTTTTTTTTATCATACTTCAAGCTTCAGTTTACTGACCAGTACCAGTTCAGACACATGTAAATGTCAGTTTAACACGTAGGCTTTCGCGACCAATATTATTCATAATCAACGTTTTTGGGTTTAGATCGCGTTATTTATAAATGTGTCGTAACCCTCCATTCTGGCGAATTGCCCGATGATGCTGGATGCAATTACCAGCGAACGTCGTACTCAAAAATTGTAAATGTTGTGGTTTCACTCTTCAACACACCGGTGGGCTAAAGCAGTGAACTATTTGTCTTTTGTCAACGTGACACTTTTTACTGATTGGCCGTGTCGGGTGGTGGAGGGTTACGACACATTTATAAATAACGCGATCTAAACCCAAAAACGTTGATTATGACATGTAAATGTACTGTATATTTCTATATAGGACAGCAGGGTGTTGCAGTGGTAACAATTGGGGATCACAACAAATAGGTCCTGTGTTCGATTCCCAGCTTGGGTTTTGTGTATGAGTTTATAGGTTATCCCCCTGTTCTGCATGGCTTTCCTCCGAGTTTTCAGATTCTTTTCTCATAGATAAAAATAAACCATACAAAGTTACTGGTGATGCAGTTTGCATTTCACAAATTATTTGGTGATGATGCGTATTTTTTTTTCGGGTTAGGCCACGTGGTAGTTTTATGTCAATTCTGATCATTAACCTTCCAGCATTCAACAAGATTGTCACGTTTACAAATATGTCATTTATTTGTGCCAATGTATTTATCCAATTCTGACCAATGAATCTCACCGATGGCTTGAGACTTTTTCATAACCGAATTTTACATAAAATCCGATGTTTTACTTTAACTGCGTTGAGCTTCATTAGACAATGAACTACTGCATCACCTGACTGTTTTTAATCATCACCTCACCAACTGCCAGAGCATGGGTCAAGCATGGGCCATTCCCCTTTGTTTGTAATTTAGGCCTGACTTTTTAATACGTTTATTATTAATATTGTGGTACTGGCCACCCACTCCCTCGTGTGCCCTTGCCGACCTTCATGTGCGCTCGCTTACAGTACTTGTCCCAACAGTCTGTTAAGGCTATATGGGATCTTTGTCTTTACGTGTATATGTTCCTCTGTCCCCATGCGGGGTGTGTGTAAATGTGTGTGTGTGTATATATTGGCTGTGTGTATGTATGCTGTATACACATATGCGAACACAACAATTGGAGAATGATAAAATTCGAGTGACACAGTTTGCTTAGGCTCATTGCTTGACCCTGCCGGGACCAATGTGCAACGCGCATATACCTTCGTTCCTTTGATTTGTTTTTTACCACCGGCTGCACACTTTTCCAAAGGAGAGAACACACACAAATCAATTTGGAGGGGTCACCCTTTCCAGTTGCACCCCACATGACCCCCTCTCATTCGCATGCATGCATTTCCATTCCGAGCACGACTCCGTTAATGTGATTTGTGAGGGCTGCCTACCGACCACGTGTGGTCAGCTATGGGCTTAGTCACCGAAGTTTGATGAGAAAATACGATGATGTCAGCTCAGTTCGGGATGGAGAGGGGTTGAAAGTCTGGTGGTGGGGGGGAGGCATTGGGCATAGAGGCAGTGGCGTAGCACAGTTGGCATTGGCACTCCTGTTCAATTTGTCCTCCTCTTCTTGGTCTGGCGCCTGGGTCTTCATCCAGCAGTGGATTAATCTTGGCTGATGATGATGGTTAGGATCAGTCAGTTCATAGAAGATACACAAATAAATATAGCAAAGGCACCCAAAACCCCAGCAGGTCTCACAACCGTGACTGTGACGCGAGGTGCTAAGGTTTGAGAATAGAGGAGTTGGTGGCCAATGTGTAGTGAGCGTAAGTAGCGCAGGAGACGTCGATGGAGGCAACACGTATTTATTAACAGGAGCTACGATACAGCACGTAGCGAACCCTCACACTTGAAGGGGTAACGGCCCTTTCACCCGATTCTACTAGAGGATATGTTCCTCAGCTAACGTTCTTCGTTAGCTCCTACTACACCCCTCTGTCTCAGACCATCCTAAAGGAGGCTAACTGACCTGGCCCAGCTTCGGCTCAGGTCCGACCCTCAGCCACTCGAGTCTGGCCCTCACAGGGACCCAGACCTCGCTCTCTGAGGTCGCCCCTGGCTTGCCCTGCTTGGCTCTTATAAGAACTGCGAGACAGGGGAGTAGTCCCAGGGCTAGGCTAGTCGGTCTTCAATCTTCACTGGCTCTTCATCGTCTTCTGACTCCGACGACTGCCTAGAGCTCTCTCTCTCTCACCGCCTTATATACCCAACCTCCCTCCCCCCCGAGGGGCGGGGCTGTGTGGGATCCCAGCCACAGCCTCCACACAGCCCCCCAGGGTGGTGACCGTTTGCGGACGTTGATGTAGACACCCCCAACGTAACAGCTCGCCACACCCCGTTACGTAATACCTCTAGAAATGCATAGTGTGGGCTCTTCTAGAACATGAAAATCAGTAGCTTGGTTGTCATGGGGCCCTGGCATAAGGACTGAAATGGAGGGTCCTTTCTCCTGCCCCCCAACCCCTTCCTGTGTAGACTGGCACCTGGACCCCTTTGTACCACCTGCACAATATATCCCACTGAGCACATGTCGAGACAGAGTACGTCCCCATATTAAAATTAAGATAACAAGGGAGTCTGTGCACGGCGCTTATTATCATTGTTGGAAATACATGTCCGACCTGTACGTCTGTACCTGCAATCATACGTAAAAACATGAAATTCAATACAACTAACTATGTATGAATGTTGAGCTTATTTTGCACCGTACAAAGCCGTAACTGTGCCAATCACCACTAGGAGATCCAACTTTGTAAAAATGTGGTTTCAACAAAATATAAGCAGAACTCCTTCTGTATCTCCACATATAAATAAAACATTTGTAGATCAGTATTATTTTTCAGATTAATATTATCCAAAAGCGTTCATTTAAGGAAGCAAACTGAACTTGTTTTGACCCTCTGGGTCTCATCAACAGCCAAGCTTGTTAAACAAATGCTGCTGGATTAGCAGGTGTTATTGGTAAGAGCACTGGACCCCATTCACAAATATATGTGTTTGCTCATGGACATGCACGTTAGGCTCCAACACCAACCAACTTGCTTGTGTTGTAATGCAAGTGCGTTAATCATACTGATACAGAATAATAATGGTTTTTTTAAATAATAAACTTGCTTTTTGACGGTTTTTTCTTGCTAATTTTGCCACAAAACTACACAGAACTCTAAATTGGTACTGACAAGCTATGGCGAGTTTTCTCGTAATTGGTTTAGGGATAACTGTTTAGATCTTTCGGTAAAGGCACATAGAAAGAAAATTAATTAAATAATAGAATACGACGTTTCGATTGCAAAACAAGCAATCATCATCAGGTACAAATGAATGAGAAGAAAAAACCTAGTAAACTTAGAAATATAATGCAATACAACACAGAGAGTCGGCTAATATAACAGTCAATACCCTACCTGGTTGATTACGTCCTTCCAAAGAGTGCTACATTTGAGAGAGAGACAAAACACAGACACGGAGAAACATGGACAGACACATAAGCAGAGAGAGACAACACAGAGACACAGGGAGAGAGAGAAAACTAACTTAAATCCTCCCCGTAGAGGTGGTTTAAACTTGACTGTTATGTTAGCCGACCACCCTGTGTTGTATTGCATTATATTTCTAAGTTTACTAGGTTTTTCTCTTATCATTTGTACCTGATGATGATTGCTTGTGTTGCAATAGAAACGTCGTATTTTATTACTTAATTAATTAATTTTATTCCTACGTGACTTTACCGAAAGAGCCAAGAAGTTAGTCCTGCAGTCACGAAAACTGGTTTAGGGATGTTGTATTTTCTGTATAAAAGCAGACAGAATCAAATTTACACATCAGAGCAATAACTCGCCTGTAACCAAATCACCCGAAGTACGCCTGGTCTTGTCAGATCTCGGAAGCTCAGCAGATTTGAGCCTGGATAGTGCTTGGATGGATGGCCACAGCGTATACTAGGCGTTATAGGCTGTCGAGCAGAGGGCAGTGCGCCAAAATCCATTATACTGTATAGTACTCCTATGCTCCCTGCCTTGATAAATTCATGCTGACAAGCATGGTGAAGTATGGTCAAATAATCCTCATCCACTGAAGGGTGGCCCACATTCAGCAGTGGATTGACAAAGGGCTGTACACAAACTAGGCCTGGGGTGGCACACACGTCGATATCATGCGTACAAACCTCTGCTCGTGAATACATGATTAAATATTGACAAATGCCGTCTCATTGGAGCCAGTTTAACAGCCCGATTGAGTTGCCCCCTTAAAATATTTATGGAGGTTAACAAAGTTTTACAAAAATGAAACTTTAACGATTCATAACAACGATCTTAGTTGAAATATTTCACTTGTTAAATAAGCCTCATCTCCCCATGGCTTCTGTATGACCTTAACATTGACTTCCTGTTGACCTCTCTATGAATTCCCCATGACCTCTTGTCCTTCCATTAAATTTACATTGGCCTCCGCATAACCTGATAACCTAACCTGGCAATGACCTTTTGACTTGCGTGTGACTGCCCTGTGATCTCCTCATGACCTTGAACTGTGACCTTCATGTGACAACTTCCTTTTGATCTCACTGTGATCTTCTAGACCTCTCACAACCTCTTGACCTCTCCGTACTCTCTGGCAGGTATGACTGGTTTGTGGATATGGGTCTACGCTGGTATGCGGTGCCAGCCGTGGCCAACATGGCCCTGGAGGTGGGCGGCCTGGAGTTCACCGCGTGTCCCTTTAACGGCTGGTACATGGGCACCGAGATCGGGCTAAGGGACTTCTGCGACACTGGCCGACTCAACGTGATCCAGGTAACTGGGTGTTGTGCCAGGCACCTGCTTATCATCACTTAGGGCCGTATATTTAGTGGCAGTTCGGCTCTGCCATGGCCTCTAATACGGCTCAGCTCAGGCTTGAGCTGTTCAGTTGCTTTCAAACATGCATGAGCAGCTCGGTGATAGTCTGTTGTCCTTCCCCCACATCTTCAATTAACGCAGTTGGCTACGTACGGTGCGAAAGAAGTTCAACATTCATACATGCATGGCTTAGTTCAGGCACGACTCATGGAAATTCTATGCGTGATTGGGACCAACCTCGGGGCTGGATTACGGCGTGCTACAGCAGGGGGCACTTGTAGGCACCTGTCCCTGCAAGGCACAATGAGCACGCAGCAGAGGCCAGAATGTGGGCATTGGGAGAAGTAAATGTTACTATTTTTGTCCCAGTTAAATAAATTGTGAGTAATTGATCAAATACGGATCATGACGCTGCCACACATGGCCGACTCTTTTTTTAATTCGTCACGGGATTTTTAATGTTCACTGTGAAGCAGACAGTGCATATTTTTACGGTTAATATTCCCGCAATATAAACCGTGCTGGGCGCTGGGCTCAAACTGCCAACCTCTGGAAACACGTTACCTCTGGGCAATGTCACAAACTAATCATCATCATCCATTATCAATTCAATGCTTGGATGATACCTACCCCATGCCGTTTCCATCTCTCATGGCCCTGAGATGAAACAATCTTTCCAGCCTCATCCACAAAGAGCTGATTTTATTGCTCCCTCTCCTCGGAACCATTCAACCAGCATCAAACAAGGGTCCATGCTGTCACAGGTGCTTGCTTAATGCTGGCTAAGTGGCATTGGTGGAAATTCCACGTTCCTGTGGTGGGAGCTAATCCCCACGCATTAAGACACTGGTTGTCTCTACATTGAGTGGTCCAGCATATTTTTGCAGGTTCTATGAATCTATATCATGAGCTCCACTTGGTGAACTCAACCACTTAGTGTGGAGAAACCAACAGGAGTTATTGGAAATCTTGCATTAAACAATCATGAATTTAAATCAGTATAGTGGTAATTGTTAACAAAGCACTCTACTCGCAATTAGATTGCCAGTTCACATCCAGGTCAACCGTCAAGGGTTGCCTAAGCTCATAAATCCTATGAGATTGATTAAAAAACGAGTACAAGGTGGGCAACATTCAACAGTAGTGTTTTTGATCCTATAATTTGTGTCTTTTCGGCGAGCTTGTGGAGGTATGACATTTTTTAAAAAGAACTATCACCAAACATAGCCAATTAAATACATTTGTTAGGTGGGCAAAATGGCAATTGATTTGGGTTTTCAGAAAACCGGAATGTTGAAAAGCAATACACATTTTGCAATTGTATTTGTTTCGTTGTACATTACATCCAGCATCATGAGGTGGTAATAAAAGCTCAAATCTTGTTTAAAGGAGCTTCCCGGTTTAAGTCCTTAGGTCGGTGCCATGAAATCATCAAGACAGGCATACAGGTGAACCAGTTTAACAATTAGCTTTGATTGTTGGTTGATTGGTTGTGATTGGCAGAGTAGATTTGTGTAATAAGGTTAATCTGTTTAGTGGTTGTGAAAATAGGCTTTCCTTAATTATATTAATTATATTATTAACACAATTATATATTGTGTTAGTAATGCAGTAAAAGTTGCAATGCTATTGTTCAGCATTAAATGGTCAATAGGGTTAATACAATTAACATTATGGGTGTAGAACTGTGAGGAATTAGTCATAGAAGATATGTTGCTTTCCGATCAATTTAGTATTACATGAGGGTTAGTACAATGAGGAGTTTAGTAATACGGGGTTGATTGAAGATATTTTTTCCATGTTATCACGATTTTAGTTAAGTGTCATTTCAAATGGTCACATTACATTGGCATCATTACGATTCTTTGTATTATTATTATTCATAATTACTTTCCAGGTAGTACTCAGGTGCCATACCTACACAACCTAACCCAAAATAAACTAAGTATGAATCAATATTGGTTGTGAAAGCCTACCTATAAAAATATAAGTTGTGTTTCTATGTCTTGACTGGTCCATGCAATGAGAATGTGGAATTTTCGCTACTGGCTAAGAGCTACAAATGGAGGTGTAGTGACTATCTCGGAGACGATAAGAGTTGGAGGCACTTCTTTTATTAACAAGCACCATCGGGGTTAACACTTTATAATTAGTCCGTCTATTGTCGGCGACATTACTCAGTCAGGACAGTTGGTAGGCTGCCTGACTGGCGACGCCCCGAGATGGTGAAGACGATGACAAGAAGGATGGTGAAGACGACGAGAAGAACTGTGACAAAGACTTCAGCAGCACGATGGGGATCCCACTCCACACAACAGCCCCGAGGTCCCCTACAGGGGCCCTTGTTATACTCTCAGCGTGGCAGGGCTCCACTCCCGGCCCCCCCTTTCTAGAACCTACCAGGGGGTTCTTGGTGTGCCCCTTCTGTGACCTTTCCCTTAGATCCCCCTCTGGTGTATAACCTGGCCTGCTTGACGTCAGGGCTGCCGTAAGCCGCAGATCCCTTTCCCTGCCAGCAGCCAGTGCTATGTTGCTACATTACTATTCTATGCCACTACACATTACTATTTTTTGGGTCTTTTGGTAAAGCCACGTAGATATAAAAATAATAAGAAAATAACATTTTGATTATTTTTCTATCTACGTGGCTTTACCGAAAGACCCAAAGAATATGAATTCCTGCAGTTATGAAAGCTTTAAGTTAAGATTTACACTTTACTATTTTATACCACCACATCACCTACCTCCGTGAAAAAAAAAACAGCCATCCCGGCTGACATCAATCACCTATGTAGAGGGGAACTGCACAAATGCGCTAATGCAACAAAGCTAACATGGAGGAATAACAAATTCTAGGCGAGAACCCTCAACAACAAACCCGAACCGCAAGGAAGTGAACAATGGAAAAGGGGCGGGTTATCGAAACTAAACACTTTTCGAGTGGGTCCTCGCTGCTGGACCCCTAGCTGGGATGGGAATTGGCGTGCTGGGGACCCCGGGGACAATACGGAAATGTACACTATGGGGACCTCATTTGCCAGTAAAAATATGATAATTGGTTCTTTACCCTTCTATCTGGCAACAAAACTGACACCTTTTTGCAAGGAGTCATGTTTGCATAGACCGCAATACCTGCAGTCATAAATACAAACAAAAGACATAACTCTGATAGTGTGCACTGTCCCTGAAGTTGATTGGTCCACACCCGAGACAGCTTTCCTTCGAGCCTAGTCTCATATGGGTTGGACCAGATGACACCAAAAGGCGCCTTTTGGCGTCATCTGGTCCAACCCATATGAGACTAGGCTCGAAGGAAAGCTGTCTCGGGTGTGGACCAATCAACTTCAGGGACAGTGCACACTATCAGAGTTATGTCTTTTGTTTGTATTTATGACTGCAGGTATTGCGGTCTATGCAAACATGACTCCTTGCAAAAAGGTGTCAGTTTTGTTGCCAGATAGAAGGGTAAAGAACCAATTATAATACGGAAATGGCCTAATGGGCGCGGCCCCTGCCGGGAAGAAGATGGCAACCGGTCTGTCACCCCCGGTCCGTCCTTCAGAGGCGCTGTCGGTGGATCTGCGGGCATCAGGCGCTGGCATTTTGTGGGTGATATAATGGAATCCTGAGGCATAACCTCCGGGCTCACTCGCCCTGGTTTGTCGGACACGTCAGACACCCGGCACTCAGGAGGTGGAGATGAACTGTCAACACAGGGTGCAATATAGGGCTTCAACCGTGATGGGTGCACAAACCAGCGCCGGCAACCGACCCGTATAGGCATACACTGCAGCTTCTTAACCTCAATCACCTCAACATGGCCCTGCCACGGCCGGTGCAATTTGGGGGACGTACCTAGGGGCACCTGGAGACAATGCAACCACGCCTGTCCCCAGCGGTTCATGGGGTCCCGGACTCCCGTTGCCCTACAAGTTTTTCATTCGCGGTCTGTCGCTTAGCCGAATTCTCTCGAGACGCCTCCTGCGCCTCCGTCAGCCGCCTAATAGGGCATAATGGACTTTTTTGCCCAAGTCCATGCCTAACTGAGCCTCCATGGGAGGGTCACTTTCCCTCCCATACATGAGGTAAAACGGCGAGAATCCTATTGAGGCGTGAGAGGCCATCCTATATAAGGGCAGGACACCTGGAATGTGGCTCGTGAACCTGTTGGCACAACATGGACGTAAGAGTCTTGTGCAAGCGTTCTACCATCCCGTCCGTCTGGGGATGGTAGGGCGATGTCTGGATGTTTTTGTACGCAGGGAATCGCACACCTCCTTTAACAATTTCGAAGAAAAATGTCACCCCTCGTCCATAAGGAGTTGTTCCGGGGCCCCTTTGTCCAAAACGTACCCGTGTAAAAATGTGTCCGCAATGGATCCGGCCGACTGATCTGGCAGAGGCCACGCAACCGGCCACTGGGACAGGTATTCCACCCCAACGAGGAGGAATTTATTTCCCCTCTGAGTGGCGGGAAATGGCCCGAGGATGTCCAGAGCAACCAGCTCGTTAATACGAGACACCGTAATGTATTGTAACGGCAGCTGGACCTGCCTCAGCAGCGGCTAGCGGCGTGCGCAGTCAGTGCATCCCCTGACCATGTGGTACACATCATCCGTCATCCCGGGCCAAAATAAGTCACGCTTCAGTGTCGGCAAAGTTTTACGTACCCCAAGGTGCATTAATTTCACGTGGACAGCCCGTGTAAGTTTACCCCGTAGAGCAGTCGGCACTACAATGCAATGACTTTGCAGTTCCTCATCCCACCTTATCAACAGTCCGTCATAGAGTCTTATAAGGGACATTTCCGCTGGCATATTTTTACTCCCCCTCGTCCCAACGTGACGCCACAACTTTAACAAGGAGGCATCTTCTACCTGGAGGCGTCTCCATTCAGCGTGCGTGAGACCAATTGTGTTGTCACAAGGAGCAGTTGTTGCGGGTGGTGGAACATCAATGGAGGCCACAACAGCACATGGCAATTCCGCAGCTGGTGGTTTACATTGGCCGGCACCCGTGTTGATGCGATGTTGCATTAGTGATGTGAGGCCAATATCAAATTTCCCCTGGTTAAAAATATCCTCGAATTCTCGTAGCAAGGCATGCAACTCGCCCTGCTGTTCCCTGGACAATTTCGAATTTTCCCCACACAACGCGTCCAAGCCCCATCCGACTTGCCTCCTCGCTCCGCCATGGCAATGACTTCTGCAGCCCCCCCGCGGGCCTCTTCATAGCGCCGTCGCATAGAACAAAATTGTATCCGCTTGGACCACCGCAGCCCCCAGCCCGACATTCAGTACTTGCAGAAAGGGCTCCTGGTCCCCTCTTACTATAGTTTGGGCCCCCACCAACGCGAGACCCCGAATCGCCTTGTTCGAAGGGGTTAAAAGGACCCCTTCAACGATATCCGTTAAAGCAAGTTGCTTCCGCAACCGCAAGGGCACCAACATCTGAGCACCTGGAGGAACCGTAACAGTTTCCTTCGGCCCTTTTTACCGGGTCGGAGACTTCAGAAAAGCCAACCGCCGTTCCGACGACAATTCAATACAACCCTGATCAACAAGAATCTTAAGGGGCATCCTCGCGAGAAGATCACAGCCAATGTCCTAGAAACCAACACCGGCCCTGTCAACTCAATGTCCCCAATACGGACTTTCACCAATATTTGGCCTATAATGCCCAACCTCCCGCCATTCGCGGCGACACACGCACGAGTGACCGGGCTAAGACAGCAGGACCTCGATGGCAAAGACTTCGAAATAAGCTCAGAAATCATACTAGCCGACGCCCCTGTGTCGATCAGCACCCTCCGATCTATCCCCTGAACATATCCAACTACCGTGGATGAGCCCGCCGCCACAACACGGTGCGCCAACGCATTCCACTGCCCCACCCCCCGCGGCGAACTGTACGACGCCGAAGTCCGTTGCTCATGCGCCATAACACGATGAGGGATGACAGTGTGCGAACCCGACGCGCTCATCAAGGGGGATGTATTATGTGACATTTGCGGCCGGGTGTCTGATGCATCACGACTTGCCTGCGGGCCTGAGGAAGCGGATGTTGGCAGGGCGGAGGACGTCGAAGGCGAGGAGAAGAATGGTGACGAAGACTTCAGCAGCATGACGGGGATCCCACTCCACGTAACATCCCCTAGGTTTTCTACAGGGGCCCTTCTTATACTCTCAGCGTGGCCGGGCTCCACCCCTGGCAACGCCCCCTTTCTAGAACCTACCAGCGTGTTCTTGGTGTGTCCCTTCTGTGACCATTCCCTTAGATCCCCCCTCTGGTGTATAACCTGGCCTGCTGACGCCAGGGCTGCCGTAAGCCACAGATCTCCTTCCCTCCCAGCAACCAGCGCTATGCTGCTACATTACTATTCTATGCCACTACACATTACTATTCTATGCCACTACACATTACTATTCTATGCCATACAGAGGTAAGGCCTGCTCAATTGCTCATTTGACCAGGGAGACATTTTGACCCACAATTTCTGTATTGCTTTTAATGTTCTAACTATGGTTTCATTTCATACTTTACTAGTTTTTCTTAAAGCATGACATTATTTTTGTTTGTGGTTGGGTTTTGGAAATCATTACTACTCATTCTCCACTCTCACATCGCCGTGATTCATTATCACCATCAAGAGAGTGTCTCACAGTCTATACCTTTGCAATGATTTAAGAGTTTGTAAAAACAGCTCCGTTTATGAGAAATTGATTTATCTGTGTAGCAGTCACAAGTGTCCGTAATGCTTAAAATGTTAACATCTCCAGGCATAACATGTTTAAAGCTTTGTGGTGCTGATGGTGCTTAAAACTTGGAAAGGGACAAGGATTCGATTCATGACTAAACATAGATTTGTATGCTGGATGGAGACTTCCCGAAGCTGTCACCACCCCCCACAATCCTGCGATACAACAATCCATCCAGCAACTGCATACATGCTGACTTCATCGCTCCATCTCCCTGGTGGATGCCATCTCAGACACGTTCCTTCCATTGGTTCAGGATATATGCATCAAATTGTGCGTGTGAGAATCGGTTTTATGTTCTATGAAGATGACTGTGTCATCGTTGTGTCTTATGCTTAAAAGTGAGATTGTTTGCTCCTTGTCTCCTACATGGCACAAAATACTCATTAAAGGAGCTTAGATGCTGAAAAAGTATTGGGACATCAGTGAGGATTTTCTAGGTAAGTGAATAGTATGATTGTTTCATCAGGAAAGCCTCACTGTGTCTCAATATTTTTTATCAGGAGGGTTCTGCCAAGTTTTTTGCAATAGGGCGTGACTTTGCTATGTGTATGTTGAACTTCTTTCGCAACGTGCACAGCCAACCGTGCTAAATTAGGATTAAACATCCCAATGGGGATTCAACATCCCAATTGAGTTATCCTGTACCGCCGATTAGCACGGTAATATACAGGTACATTTCAGCAATGCGATGTTTGGCAAATGCCAGTTACATTATACATTTTTGTTTAGCAGTGGCGGGAACCAAGAGAACTCGGAGGAAACCCATTCAGAACAGGACAAGAACATAAAAATTCCACGCAGAAGGGTGCCCAGTCAGGAATAGATATCAGTTCCCTTCTTGCTGCAAGGCAGCAGTATTATCACTGCGCCATCCAGCCACCTTAAGTTAAGGACGTTATTTAATTGTGGAGCAGAGATGCAGGCTCACCCTATGGTCCCCATCGCTCCTGACTCTCCACTCTGCCTGCCTCCAGGATGTGGGCAAGAGGCTGGGTTTGGACACGGGGAACGTGACGTCCCTTTGGAAGGACCAGGCGGCCGTGGAGATCAACATCGCCGTGCTGCACAGTTACCAGGTGTCACACTCCCACCTGGTGTCACTACCCACCAGGTGTCACTACCCACCTGGTGTCACTACCTACCTGGTGTCACTACTCACCAGGTTTTGTCTCATCAGGTTTGACGCTGTCATCAGGTGTCACCCTTCGTGCCTCACAAGAAGCACCTGGGTTTGATTTCCAACTCGGGTGCTTTTCTGTGTAGAGTTTGTACGCGTGTGCTCCCTCTGTTCCACATGGGTTTCCTCTGAGTGATCTGGTTATCTTCCATCACTAAAAAATACACGAAGTTATTTGTATTGACCAAACGTCCTAATGCTAATAAAATACCTGTCACATTACTCAATTGGGATTATACATAGCGATGTCAACGCCAACTGCAAAACAGTGTTGTGATGTAGAACCACTTGGAGACGGAGTTCTGAGACTGAGCCTCTACTCAGTAAACAACCATAGAAATAATAGCAAATTAAACACGTTGACTTCACGTTTGGCCTAAGTGTTAGGGTTGTAGATAGAGTTATCATAAAATAGAGTGTTAATTCAAACAATATTGTTGCACGTGTGTGTGCTCCACCCAGAGCGACAAGGTGACCATTGTGGACCATCACACGGCCGCGGAGTCGTTCCTCAAGCACATGGAGAATGAGTACCAGGCGCGCGGGGGTTGCCCGGCCGACTGGGTGTGGATCGTGCCGCCCATGTCCAGCTCGCTCACGCCGGCCTTCCACCAGGAGATGCTCAACTACACGCTCTCCCCATCCTTCCTCTACCAGGTGAGACACCTCCACCCTTCACTTGACTTTCCTCTACCAGGTGAGACATCTGCACTGTTCACCTGACCATCTACTAGGTTGAATTATGAATGCGTATTTACATTACACTCTATAACACATGTTATATGGATGCAGGCTGAAAATAACACATTTTTGTTTACCCTCTACTCACTGTTACCCTCTCAACCCTCTTCTTCTTATGAATTCCCTTTCCAACCTCCCCCTCACCCTATCTCCACCGTCTTGCCACCCCCATTGCCCGCTCTGCCAGCCGGCACCCTGGAAAACATGGAAGTCAGCAAATAAGAAGAAAGTGATCAGTTTCAAGAAACTGGCTGAGTATGGCAAGATTGCAGCTTTGGGTCATATTTTTAGTTACGGCTTGGCTCTGGCTTGGGCTCTAACACGACTCAGCTCAAAATTGAGCCACTCAGTTTCTTTCAAAGTTGCATGAGTGGCTCGGCCATGGCTTGACTCAGGCTCCGCTCAAGGATTGTTCTGATTATGATTGGGACCATGCTTAAAGCTGGCTCAAGTTAAACGTTGCTTTGAGTTGGCTCACTTGAGCCAGAGCTAAGCCTGAGCTGTGACTAAGGATACAGGCCTTAGTGTGTGTGTGTGTTTGTTCATGACTATGTGTGCCTATGTCTGCATTGGTGTGTTCTGATTGTGAGGAGTGGTAGCATAGTGATTAGCATTCTGTGCTACGTATCCGGCAATTTGAATTTGATTCCTCGCAACGGTCCTTGGCCTCACCTATGTGAACTCTGCCGTAAATGAGTATCTAGTGTGGTGTGTACATGTCAGCTGTGGGGGGACAAAGATGGCCAGGCATGGTGCCGACCACCGACCTCCTCGTGTGGCATACCGGCCTTAATAGATGCTCCCTAACAGCACTAGCCCCACCAGGTCGTGTAGGCTATATAGGGGACGAGGGGGTCGGTGGCCAGCAACACGATTAGTTAATTATTTGAGGCTGAGTCGACCTAGGGGAGGCCCAGGACCGGTTAAAATAATCGTCACCGGTGGTGGCCGTGAGCAGGAATCGAACTCGGGTCGCCGGGTTTGTAGCGCAGCGCGCTAACCACTACACTACAATGCGTTACGCTTCCACATGCGTGGGTCACGTGACAGATTTGACGTCACAGCTCACTTGAGCTCCCCCCCCCCCAAAAAAAGTGTATTTGTATAATTTTTGCATGGTGTACAGCAGGGGTCCTCAAACTACGGCCCGCGGGCCACATGCGGCCCGCCGAGGACATTTATCCGGCCCATGGTCACTAATTGGGCTGCGCTTGTGAGCACTAATTGGGCTGCGGTGGTGAGCACTCATTGGGCTGCGGTGGTGGGCACTGATTGGGCTGCGGTGGTGAGCACTCATTGGGCTGCGCTGGTGAATGGTTCAATGGGCCAATTGACTGGACTTGCCCCCCAGGCCTAAGGCTGCCAGCCCTCCCCTGGCTGCGCTTGACTGGCTCTCCCTCCCTCAGCTCCCTCACTTGCCCCTCGGCTCCACTCCCAGTGATATTCCTGTGTGCTGGGGATGTAGATCCCCAGCACACGCACCGCTGAGTAAATGATAGAGGGGTAATAACAGAGTGATCTCTGATCTCTGGAGGGGCTGCCTGCTGTTTTCCCGTGCTGGTCAGTGACAGACAGCCGAGGAGTAGGAAACCCAATTTAAATGACAGTAAGTGCATTTATATTCTGATTGCTATTCAGTTGTATGAGGTTATATGTTGTATGTTGTGTAAGCCCCGGTTCATACTGTTGCGATCTCTGAGCAGTGCGAGTTCAGCCATTTGCTTGTATGGCTGAACTTGCATTAGATTCGGAAGAAAAAAGGCACATGTGCCTTCTTTTTTCCTGCAGTGGAATCGGATCGCATGGGTCTTCTCCCCCATGCGATCAGATTCCTACGCGAGTTCGCAGATCGCACTGCGATCTGTGAACAAAACTGCAGGTGTAATTAACTTTTTAATGGCACCCGCACCAGTGTGAGCCTGGGGTAAAAGCGGAGTTCCCCCAATCAGACTGCATTGATGGGCAGTGCAGTCTGTATGTCTCTGTGTGGGCAAAGTTATTGCTGGTATATTGTTTTTGTGGCGCTGTATATATATTGGTATTTTACTAATAGCAATTTTGACTCCCTAGGAAACAATGATGTCAAGAAAGAGAAAAAATGACTCGGAGTGTAGGATATTCAAAGAACAGTGGACTTATGATTACTTTTTCATGCAGTACAAGGAAAGAGCTGTGTGTCTGATATGCCAGAATATAGTGTCTGTGTTCAAAGAATACAATTTACGTCGACACTATGAAACTCAACATAAAGATAAATATGATTGTTTGGTCGGAGAAGGGAGAAAAGATAAAATATTAAAACTGAAAAATACATTAACAACTCAGCAAAATACTTTTGTGAAGCAGAAGCAGCTAAATATTTCATTACTGCGAGCAAGTTTTCAAGTTGCCAAGCTAATAGCGTGCACTGGCAGACCATTCGTGGAGGGAGAATTTGTTAAAGAATGCCTTCTTTCTGTTGCCAAAGAGATGTGTTCAGAGAGGGCCGATTTATTTAGTACAGTGAGTCTTTCAGGACCTACAATTACACGGAGGATTGAAGAAATGGGAGACAATTTGCATCAGCATTTGCAAAACTCCACAAAAAAACTTTCCTATTTTTCCTTGGCACTCGACGAAAGCAATGATGTTCGTGATTCTGCACAACTTCTAATTTTTATTCGTGGGACGAATGACTATTTCGAAGTCACAGAAGAGCTTGCTGCACTGCAAAGCATCAAAGGAACAACTACATGAGAGGATATCTATGAAAAGGTTTGCCAAACTGTGAATGTTTTGGAGCTGAACTGGGCTAAACTAGCCAGTGTGACAACTGATGGTGCTCCTAGCATGGTGGGATCTAAGAAAGGAGTAATTGCTCGCATTAACCAAGAGATGGACAAACATAACCATTCTCATCCAATAGCCATACACTGCCTCATCCACCAACAAGCGCTGTGTAGTAAATCACTGAAGTGGGACTCTGTTATGAAAATTGTGGTATCTTGTGTTAACTTCATTAGAGCTCATGCACTAAACCACAGACAATTTCAGGAATTTCTGTCTGAGCTAAATGTTGACTATGAAGATGTTCTGTACCACACAGGAGTCAGTTGGCTGAGTCGAGGGAGAGGTTTGAAACGTTTCTATGACTTACTTCCATAGATTACAGCTTTTCTGCTTTCAAAAAACAAAGAAGTACCAGAGCTCAATGATGCAGAATGGAAATGGCACCTTGCCTTTCTGACAGATGTAACAGAGCTACTCAACAGTTTCAATGTGCAACTTCAAGGAAAGGGGAAGCTCATCTGTGATATGCAATCACATGTCAAAGCATTTGAAGTAAAATTAGGCCTCCTCATCAAACAAGTGAACAAGGAAAACGTCTGCCATCTCCCCACAACTCAAAATCTGTTAGCGGAAAAACCATTGGTTGCATTCCCAAACAAAACATGTGTGGATTCACTGGAAAAAATGCAAAATGAGTTCCAATTTAGATTTAAAGAGCTTCATCTCCATGAACAGGACATACAGCTTTTCCGTAACCCATTTTCTATTGACATTGAAAATGTGGATACAATTTACCAAATGGAACTGGCTGAACTGCAGAATTGTGACTCTCTGAAAGATGCATTCAAGTCAAGCAGCCTTCATAATTTCTATGCATCTCTCCCCTCTGAGACATATCCTCATCTCAGGAACCATGCACTCAAAATGGCAACCATCTTTGGCAGCACTTATGTCTGTGAACAGACTTTTTCCAGAATGAAACATTTGAAATCTCCAACCAGATCTAGACTAACGGATGCACACTTGCATCACTTGTTACGACTAGCAGTGACAAATATGGAACCGGACATTGACCATCTCATTAGCCAAAAGCAGGCCCATAGTTCCCATTGAAATACTGGCAAGTTTGTTGATTTAACTTTACTTGTTCTTCATTTTAAATATTGTATTTGTTCTCGTTTTGTTTCTTCACTTCAAAATAAGATATATGCAGTGTGCATAGGAATTTGTTCATAGTTTTTTTTAACTATAGTCCGGCCCTCCAACGGTCTGAGGGACAGTGAACTGGCCCCCTATTTAAAAAGTTTGAGGACCCCTGGTGTACAGTCTGGAAAGTACCCACATGGCAAATGTCTAGTTTGTTGCATGTCGGGAAGTACGCTAAACATTTTGAACAGACACACATATTCACAACTTTGCCTTTTATATATATGGAGATATAGGGGATTTTTGTCTTTGTATATGTCATTGCATGTATATGTGCTTACATTTCTTATGTTTGTAACATATATGAATGCACATTGTAGAGGGGCTGAAAATGTTACCTGCAGCTGTTGAATAGAGATGGGAATTTGGTTTTCAGCAATGTCCCATGACAGATGAGAATCTTGCCTTTTGATGTTTGATTTAAGTTTGGGTCTGTATTTTTGTCTTTTAACTGGGTTTTCAATTTGTTAATAATTTTGCCCAAGTAAGTGATGTTAATTCGAGCAAAAGAGGTTTGGAACATTGATGGGATCGATACAAAATATATTCGTGTACAAGGCAGCTGAATATATGGATATTCATGGTAATAAATTGGGGCAGCCTTTTGTTTACCAACAAGGTTTCACCTGCTGCAGGGAGGGCTTAGTCATCATCTTCATCTGGCCTCACTTATGATTATAATAGTGCTTTACTCAGAGAAACCTCACTCAGTCTCAATACTATTTTTCAGGAAGGTCCTGTAGTCGGGGGTGATGTTGCTGTGTGTCATACCAATTGAGTAATTTTTCAAATATTTTTTACAGCAATGGGATGTTTGGCCAATACCAGTTACATTGTATGTTTTTTAGCTATGGGGAGGACAAGTGGAGGACCTAGAGGAAACTCATGCATAAAGGCACCCAAGTTGGCAATCAAACCCAGGCCATTTCTCCTATGCGGTACTAGTGTTAATGCTGCGTCAGCCTGCTGGCCCAACAGTGCTGACTACAGCATGTGTTCTGTGTGTCTGACCCCTCACCCGTTCTCCCCAGGGCCGTCAAATTCTCGGCAAAGCTGATGGGACAGGCTATGGCGCGGCGCGTCAAGGCCACGGTGCTGTATGCCACGGAGACTGGGAAGTCACAGGCGTACGCCAAGACGCTCTGCGAGATCTTTCTGCATGCGTTTGATGCCAAGGTGGGTCAGCTGACACGATAGCGAATTTCAGATCGTAATTGAAAGTGAGCTCAATAGGTGTTCTTCAAATGTATGTAGCTGAAAGGCAATGAAAGTGCTTTAAGAAATGTTAATTAAATATTTGGGTGGTGGGGTGACAGTGGTAACACTAGGGCCTCACAGCAAGAAGGGTCTGGGTTTGATTCCTGACTCTGGTGCCTTTCTGTGTGGAGTTTGCACGTTCTCCCCATGCTTTCAATGGGGTTACTCAGAGCTTTTTGCATTCCTCCCATAGTAACAAAACCAAAATGTAACATTGCAGTGCTGGAAATTACCTGCACATGAATCAATTGAGATTACATATCACGTCACCCCCTACTGTAATAACTTGGCAAGACCCTTCTAAAAAGTGTCTTGAGACTCCGTGAGGCTTTCCTGAATTAACAAGCATGATAAATAATATAATATATTTTCACGGCTGTTGTCTAACACAGGGTGGTGCACTGCTGCCTGAGAGTTCCAAATGGGAATGGCCTCATCTCATGACATGATGCTGATAGCACAATTGGAATTAAAAAAAATAATATGATTTTAAATCATTAGAAAAGTATGATCCGCAAAAAAACATTTGGTTTGAAAAGAAACTCTTCAGAAATGTACATCTCAACGACTGTGTGATTTGAAAACATGTAAGTCATGTAAGAATATTGTGACTTTTTATTCATGCAATTCATTTAGCGGTAGAGCGGTGGTGCAGTGGTTAGCCCACTGCTCTATGAACCCAGCGGACCTGATTTTGTTTCCTGGCCATGGCTAACATTAGTTGGAAATTATATCTGAAACTATTCTGGACAACTCCTTCACCCATCCCACACTTTTCAGCTTTGTGAAGTATGGTAGAAAACAAACAAACCCCATGACAGACTTGGCATGGGGCTATATGGTTTTTTTTTTATGTAGGGCATCATGTTATTCATAGTAAATGTATTACAAGTATGTGTACAGGTACATTGACAATTTTGTCTGAACAAAATGTGAAAAAGTTTGCAAAGAAGCAAGGAAAGATAAGTGAGCTTGGACAGGACACGTCATTAGAAGGGATTGTGGCCTGTGGTCGAGACTAATTACAGAGTGTCAGTCAAAGGAGGGAACACCTGAGAGGGCATTCATCATGGAGATGGAGTGATAACATTATTGTTACATTACAGGATCCATACAGGATCGTGAGAGATTGTGATGGTTTGGGGAGCCCTTCACCTCCCGGTGGATTCATCATGGCTAATTATGATGGTGCGTTGTTTTTACAGGTAGTGTGCATGCAAGACTACGACACGGTGGACCTGGAGCACGAGGCGCTCGTTCTGGTCGTCACCAGCACCTTCGGCAATGGGGACCCCCCCGAGAATGGGGAGGTGAGCTGGGGAGGGGGGGTGTCTGTCTGGAGGAGCAGTAGTGTAGCGGTTAGTGTGCTACTCTACGAACCTGGCGACCTGGAGTCGATTCCCGCTCACGGCTATCACCAGTGACGATTATCTGAACTGGTCCTGGGCCTCCCCTAGGTCGACTCAGCCACAAATGAGCACCTAGTGCGGTGTGTAAACATCGCCACTCGGGAGACAGGGGCGACCGGGTATGGTGCTGGCCACCCACCCCTTCGTGTGCAGTGCCGGCCTTCATACATGCTCGCTAACAGCACTTTCCCCAACAGTCCGCTAAGGCTACATGGGGGATCTTTGTCTGGAAGAGCAAGATGGTGAGAGGGGTCCAGGTGGGGCTTGAGAATGGGATCAGGGTTATGTGGCTGGGGTAGTTGAGGGGAAAAACATAAATTGTGCATTCTATAACGAAAATTGTAGCAAATGGGGGCTAGGGGTGGTCACGTGGTCGGGGTCCAGATCCTGCCCGAGGATTCTGGAAGGCGGTCGTAGCCAAGGACGGAGCCAGTCACGCCGCAGAGAATATAATCCGGGTCCCCCAGAAGGGTCGGGGTTGTTGTTCATCCTGATGAAACCTTCGTCTACGTTCTACGTTCTACCGAGTCTCCAACACGTGGACCTGGACCCGAGCTGTGCTCCTGTCCGTTGTAGCTAGTTACGTAGTAATTAGTGTAGTTAGCCTGGTGGTCACCACCACAGGTTGTTATTCTGTTAAGGGGCAGTTACCCCGTGTGTTGGTGCTAGATAAATGTGTTGCCTCCAAGAGTACGTCTGCGACTCAGCTGAACTCACTACATAAGCACAACGGCTAATGTCATAGTGCAATGATTATAGCACGCTGGACCTGCAATCCATAGGTAGCTAGATCGATCTCCCTCGGCGTGGTAGTTGAACAATGAACAATTTAGTTAAATCCCCAAGGAATTTTAAATGTTGTGCACCCAGCAATATGAATGGGTAAACCACAGATAGTTGTTCGGCAGCTGGCATGTGGTGGGATAAAGTGTGGTTATTCCCACCTCTTTCAAAACATCTGGTCCAGCGTACAAGAGGAGGTTAAAATACCCATTAATCAAAAATACTGTCCAGAGCTCGCTAAAGCGGAGGCCCTTTCACCATCAGTGGCAAGTGCAATTAATTGCAGGGCTTCCCCTTAACCTTTTCTTGCTCTTTATGAGCCATATCAAAATATTTTGAGGGAGTGAAGGGGCTGGCGGGTGCAGACATAACCAGCCGCTGATCTGGCCTGTGAGCATGGTGGGGTTGGGGACCAGGGTTTGGTACGTGGTCATTATATTTTTCATTTATATAATTCCTGTTTACCCAGGAGGCTTCACTGAGTCTAAATACTTTTTTTAGGAGGGTCCTGCTAATAATTGTTTTTTTGCAGTAGGGGGCGATGTTGCTATGTGTAATCCCAATTGAGTAATTCAGCACTGGGATGATGTCTCGTTGTCTTGCTTGCAGAGGTTTTCGTCCACCCTGATGGCCATGCTGCAGCAGCACTCGACGGCAGAAGAACAGCCCAAGTGAGTTCATCCTCGTCATTACAGGAAGACACAAAAACACAAAAAAGAATTTCATGCATATGCATGGCTTATGTAATGTGTGGTTGTTATCAGAGGTTTTTCATTTGCAATCATATCACGAGGGACATCACGAGATGGCATCATACGTAATTATTTCAAGTGGAGGCGAGCGCGCGCATCGTGTGTGATGTCATCACCTTAGCCTAAAGGGGATTACTCATCGCTGTTTTCATAGCCAAGTTATTTGTAACTCATTAATCAATTTGCTAATTTTTCCAGTGGCTGTGTTTGTGAGTGCTCAGTGCAATGTTGCTCACCATTAATTCCTGTCTCCCCTCTGTACAGCCATGCCTAAAATTAATACCAAATGCAGAAGAAAGTCAATGTGATGCCTAGCAAACTGTACTATGAATTGCAGCAACCTGGGTTCAATACTTTGCTTTCGATTTTACGTTAGGCCTGGTTTTCACCGGTGGCCATCGCCAGGGTCCACTGTTATGAAGAGATTAATATTCTGTCTCAGCGCCAGTGCCAGAATTCTACGATGAAAACTGCCGGCGGAAGCCCTGCCCCTCGAGGGGGAGAGGAGAGACTTCCGTCTGCATTACATGACCACGGAAATACCAACTCAGTGTTTTTAATGTCTGGCTCTTTTACACCAAAAATGAAACATTGATGAAAAGTGGAAACGGGGCCTGACTTGAACTCATCAGTGGCACAAGTATTAAGGGTCCATGAGAGGACGAATGTCTGGCTAGTTTGTTAGGGCTAGGGCTCGTGGCTGCTTGACTAGTTTCCTCTGCCAAACCCAGTCTGCGCATTCCCCTCCAATCCCAAATGTAGATCTTTCACTTTTTATTAATAATTCACTTCTGGCATTATAAGTGTCCATGTGAAGCTCAAACTATGGGTGTAACGATTAATATGAATTATTAATGCTCACCATATATGCATCAATTTGTGCCTGTAATAATGGATGTTTTTCATTTTCTGAAAATTATGTTACAACGACAGGCTAATGTTTAGACTGGTCCAGTGTTTCACAACCGGCACATCTGTGTGCTGCGGCAAAGTCTTAGGTGTGCTGGAGTATTTTTGTAATCATTATTCGCGACGGATACGTTCCAGAGATGCTCATGAATAGCAAATTTTGCGGATAAAGATATTGGCATACAAATTTCGTATGCGCAACGTCTGCAGATGCTTCTAAAGCTTCAATAAGTTATCTATCTCTCGCATCTCTTTATCTCATCACTTTCTCATAACTTTATCTAATCACTTTCTCGCATCACATTCTCTCTGATCGCTTTATCGCATCACTTTATTTTTCTTTTGCGATGAAGTCAGGTAAAGTTCCAGATGCGATTCACAGATAGCAAAAATAGCAAATAGCAAGTTCATGAATAATGAGTGAATAAATTTCGATTTAAAGCTTTCGTGACTGCAGGGATTCATCTTCTTGGTTCTTTCGGTAATTAAAAAAAAAAATTATTATATCATTTATTATGTTTAATTTTTATTATTTTATTACTTCCCTTCTACGTGACTTTACCGAAAGAACCAAGAAAAAGGTTAGCATGTCAATGTAAGAGATTGGCATGTCAATGTAAACGGCGGCTTTGTTAGTGTGAACCTGTTAATGTAAAATCAGAGAGTCGGAAATAACTGCTAACATCGGAATGTAGGATGGAAACATCAAAGCCAGTTTTGATTTAAACTGGTTAATAACGTCCTTCCAATGATTGCTCAGTTTGTACCCATCTTTTCGGTTGAAATTGTGTCTATACAGTATATATGGATGGCTTCATCAACGAATCTTTGTTGATAGCCAGTGGGTTTGCAGAGTACCTTCGTCTTACTATTTATGATTACTTTCATTTCGCAAATTCCAAAAATATTCTAAAGACAAATAAACAGAAGAAAGGATGGCATTAGCAGGGTTGAGTAATGCGTGCTCACAGCAGGTTAAAGCAACTGAATGCATGTTTAATGAAATAAATGATGACAAATCAAGTAATCAGATTACAATATTCTTAGGTTTTTTCGGTAAAGTCACGTAGGTAAAAAATTAAAATTAAAATTAATAAAAGTAAAATAAAATAAAAATAAAAAATAAAAATCACGACGTTTCGGAGGCAACACAAGCTTCCGTCTTCAGGTGGAACCGTCACAGCCACGACAGCTGTATCAAGTAAATGAGAGATTACAAGAGCTACCACTCCGTATATATAATGGTTGAAGAGGGGAAGGGCCAAGTACGGCACACTTTTTATTAATATGGTAAGGTGAGGCTTATGACTAAGAATAGACTGCATAACAAAAGACTGAGCCTTTGTTATGGAGAGGTGCGGTTTGTGACTATGCCTAGCCTACATAACAAAAGTGTGAAAAAAGAAAAAACTAAACCTGGTAAAACAAAACTTGCTGTCTATCTATAACCTGTAATAGTTGTCTGTCAAATAAGATGGTCCAAATAAGTGTAGTTAAATCTTTTTTGCATGGTTAATCACATCTTTCCAATGATTACTCAGTTTGTAACCATTATCACGGTTGAAATTATGTCTGTGTTTGTATATTTGTATGGCTTCGTGTACAAACCTTTGATGGTAGCCAGGAGGTTTGCAGAGCACCTTGGTCTCGGAAAAGACAATTTCATGAGAGCCCACAGAGTTGTAGCAATGATCGGCAACGGCCAAAGAATCAGTTCTGCCGTGTTTCAGATCTGACTTGTGCTCGCGGACACGATCAGAAACATGACGTTTCGTTTCTCCAATGTAGCAATCACCACAACTGCAACTTAGTTTGTAGACTCCAGGATACTGTAAGTCAGGAACGACATCCTTCACAGATGGACGCAGATCACGGATTTTATGCACTGTACTGAATCGGACTTGGATCTTATGTTTGTTTAGAATTTTGGAGATTCAGTACAGTCCAAAATTCTTCCTACAGCACTGTCCATGAAAGCCATGTAATCTTTTGTTTGGCTCTCTGACCGCATAAGCCAATCTGGGGTGAGTGGTGCAGTGGTGTGCTGTATTTGCTGACCCCGAGGCACCTGCTTTCTCTTTCCCACCCCCCTTCTGCGCCCCTCCCCTCGCTGCTGCCCGTCCTGGCTCCACTCCCCATCCAACGCTGCCATGGTCCCCACGCCCGCACAACTGTGTGTCCGTCTGTTTTAAATTTGTTGTTCTGGCAATGACACGCGGCATTCTCTGCACACCACACACGTTTATTGCGCATACACCTAAACTATTTTATGTGTAACATGTGTAACCCATTTGCACATACGCACTCATTTATGTACGTAAACATGCATGCACATAAATGTTTAAATACATGCGTAAATATATTTACGCACATGTCGCTTGTGTGATTCTTTGAACTTAATCGTATCTTTCAATAAAATCGCTGCTGCTTCTTTGGCCTCCTGCTGCTTGTGACTGCCACTGCAATGGGGCTGCTTCTGTTTAACTGGTGCCTACTTCTCCACGCTTCTGTGTGTCTTACCCTCCCCTTGATCGTAACGCTGGCCGAAACCCTAACAACATAACCCTGACCAATACATCTAATCCATTAATCTGACCATAACCACAACACCATAACTCTAAGAATTACTAAAACCCCCAACAAAACATTAACCCTGACAATACCCGTGACCATATCCCGATCTAAAACACTTCATGCTAACAATAACTAAATTCTTGACACAAACCCTAACACTAATCTTCACCTTAATTTTAACCCTTACTAACCCTAACATTATCCCAAACCATAATTATATCTTACCCCTGACCCAAACTCTAACACTAACCCGGGTACTAACCCTAACTCTCATGCGAACCCTAACCCTGACGATGACTATAACCATCACTGATACTAACTCTTGCTCATAACCCTAACCATGACCTTACACAAACACTATCAACCTTCATGTTCACCATGACTATAATCCCGACTTGAACCACAACCACGACAATAACTCTGACCACAATTATAAATCGTAACTCTTACAACTCTAACCCATAACTCTAACCATACTATTTTCTTTACCTTACCTCTAACCCTGTCTCTTAACTCGCACCGGCGGTATCACCACTCCACCTCTACCATCTCCCTTTCGGGGTTGGCCTCCAGGAGCTACAAGGTTCGCTTTAACAGTGTGTCCTCAGGGAAAGACGTGCCCCCTTCCTCCCAGGAGACCATTGGCAGCAGCACCGGCGGTGGTGCTGCCGGTGGTGAGCGGGAGCGGCTGCAGAGTGCGGGACCCTTGGCCAATGTCAGGTAGTGACATGCATGTTGGTTTGCGCGCACCCCTGGTTATCCTTGTGTTTTTTTTCGTAGTCACCATCAAGTCCGTGTAACGCTTTGTAGATGTTCGTTGTTGTGCCGTATGGTTCTCTGGTATGCTTTTGGATTGCACCTCATGTTGTTTTGATGTCCGACAATTTGCTCCACATATTGAGAGCTTTTTCAGAAATAAGCAGCTCTCTTTTGTAACAGTGGCAAATGTTACTAATATGTATATCGATGTCTGGGTTCTTCGGCCATTCAAGATCGCTGGCTGTAAGCTGGTGGATCGTTTTGGTGCTGCTGTTCAATGGTCGTGATGGGCGAGTAGTTGATTATGTAATCCATTTATCCTACTCCACAGTCACAGGTGGAACTATATTTTATCCACTTGTGTAGGAGATGCGTTTATTGGCCATGCGATGTCAAACTAAATTAATGTATTAGTTCCTGAAGAAGCTACTAGAACATGGAGTGAAATGGCAGGTATAATGCTGAACAATACGCATGACAACCGGAAAACACGTTGGATAGCTATGCAATTCAAGTATCTCCTTGCCCAAGTATTCGCCAGTCTTGGCTGTCAGCATTGGATATCCCACATTTTTAAAGGCCTTTCTCCTTGTTCATTTAGTTATGTGTTTTGGGAGTGTGGGGGTATATTTGTATCCGTGGTGAAATCATGAGCCTGCGTGCTTATATTATGTTTTAGAATTGCGTGAGTTATTTACCTACTTGCTTTTAGCTCTGTACAGCACCTTGCGACCTCTGGGTGAAACATGTTTTTATAAGTGTCAATTATTATTTCCATGGTGGCAGCCAGTCTTTTACAGAATTGCCAATTTAGACTTGCTGGAAAGTGGTACCTGCTTTTTCGACCCTTGCCGTATGACACCCTTGACTTGGATTTAAATCATCGACGCTTTTGTGAATCGAGCGCAGACACTATTATGGTATGCATTTGGTAAGTTTAAGTTTTCTTTGTCCAGGCTGGGATCAATAATTAGAAGTTTCCGTGGTGTACTGTATTCTTTAATCTAAAACTATTAATGCAATGCTCTCCTTATTGGAATATCTACAAAGCAATTATCCTGGCTACAATATGTACAAAATGCTGCTGCCAGAAATATGTCCATGCTACTCCAATTATGGCCTCATTACTTTGACTCCGAGTTTGTTTTCAAGTAGATTTCAAATTTTGCTTTAAAATTCTAAGGGTTCGTCCCCTCTTACCTAACTCAACTCCTATCTCATTTTGACCCAAGTTGTTTAGTTGATTCACAAAATGCTGGACTATTTAGATTTTGGTTCAAAATGTCCACTGAAGGTGATAGAACCTACTTGAATTACCATCCTAATCTATGGAACTTTTCATTACCCTCAGTAGGATCTGCCAATCACTGTCCTGAAGACATATCTGTTCAATTATGTTTTTACTAATATTTCTCAGTACTGAGATGTATTTTTACTTGCTGAATTTTATCCATTATGTCATGTTTTTTCGTTTCTATATATTTCATGGTCTTTCCAGTCAGCGAGGATGACTCTCCTCGCTATAACATTAAAGGCTTGGAGTAGAGTGTGTTGTGACTATGATAGTCTGACTGGTTTCAAGTTCCATAGAAAGGAGTCTACCGAAGGCCTAACGCTTGTGCCGCAGATTTTACTAAAGTGCTTGTCAATGTCCTTGTGAAATTCAGTAATATCCGGGCACGGCCAAAAGGCATGCAGGTAAGTCTGGGTGGTGCCCCGTGGGTACCTAGGGCAGTCTGGAGAGGTGTTTGAGAACGTTGCCCTCTTCTCATTGGTGAGATAAGTTCCATGTATACGTTTGTATTGAATAACCTTAAAAGGGAGCAACCTAGGACCGGTAGCAGGGGCGTGCCAGATTTGTGTCCTCTTCTGGAATGGGACAACATAACTCAACTGTCCTTCCCATAGCCTTTTAGTTTTCAATCTGGTCTGTTCTTCCCCAGAGTGAGGGAGTCGATATGCCTCCGCCATTTTGTATTTATCCCATCCTACTGAGAGATATTTAATTACGGGGTGATAGTCGCTAGAGAGGTCATTATTTGGGGATTTAGTAATGGCGTCTCTAATCTGTAGGAACGACTGCTTTCCAGAGTGGCCAATCCCTTTGCCCACTATTCTAAGGGACGGGTTACCCCAGAAGGGGGATTGTCTATGAAGGGTAGAGGAAATCGGGACCTGTTTGTCCTGACAGATTCCTAAAGTGGGAGTTACTGTCCACAATGGTTTGAGAGCCCGTGGTCTATCCTTGGTTGGGGACAAAACACTTCCTGTAAGGCTACAGGGGCTAACAGAACTTTCTTCCCATTTCTCTCACACCCCCTTCCTTTATGGATTCATCCATTGTTTAACATCAAGAAGGGCATTCAGTTGGAGTTTAAACACTTTGTGAAGCCTATATCTTAAAAGGTTCTAAAATTAATAGTGGTTAAATCTTGACTTAAAGCTTTCGTGACTGCAGGAATTCATATTCTTTGGGTCTTTCGGTAAAGTCACGCCTATCTACATGACTTTACCGAAAGACCCAAAGAATATGAATTGTGGTTATTGTGGTATGCGCGTAATATTTCTATGGTGTCTCCGTGGTGCCGGTGTTTTTCAGGTTCTCGGTGTTTGGGCTGGGCTCCCGTGCCTACCCTCACTTTGCGGCGTTTGGCCACGCAGTGGACGCACTGCTCGGAGACCTGGGTGGGGAGAGGATCCTGCGAATAGGGGAGGGAGACGAGCTGGGGGGGCAGGAGGAAGCATTCCGCACCTGGGCGCGCCGCGTCTTCCAGGTGCTGATCTCTCACCATGAACCCAGCTCACGTTAAGCTCATCGTGCTGGAAGCTTCTTTAGGAATGGCTCTCAGCAGGTGGAGTGAAATGTTGGATATCATGCCGAACAACATGCAGTAAAGCTGAAAATACGTCGGAGAACGATCCATTTCAGAATTGTTGCCCATTTTCACAATGGAATTTCAGGCTGCATGTGACGTGTTCTGCGTCGGAGATGACGTGAACATGGACAAGGTGGCGAATTCCCTGGTGCGGAGTGAGCGTGCATGGCGCCCTGACCGTTACCGCCTCGTGCCAGCCAGCGAGGCCCCCGACCTCATCACAGGTGCTTGCGAACTGCATTGGCAGGAAGGCTTCACTGAACCTCGAGAAATGTTTTGTAGGGTCCCGCCAATATTTTGTAGTAGGGGGAAATGTTGCTGTTTGTCATTCCAATTGAGTAATTTGCAAGTAATTTTTCAGCATTGGAATGTTTGGCCAATACCAGTTATATTGATTGATTTTTAGCTGTAGAGTGTACCAGAGAATCTGGAAGAGATCCATGCAGAACAGGAGGAGAATGTACAAACGCCACACAAATAACTCAGGATGTTCTTGCTGTGGGGCACAAGGGCTACAGCTTTGCCACCCTGCCACAAAAGGACTCTAAATCTGTAATTGCCCATTCGTGTTACCATTGGAGCAGTAGTGCAGTCGGTAACGCAATGCACTAAAATCCGTGACTTGGGGTTTATTTCTGGTCATCACTAAGATCAGTGGTGATATACAGTGAGGGAAAAAAGTATTTGATCCCCTGCTGATTTTGTACGTTTGCCCACTGACAAAGAAATGATCAGTCTATAATTTTAATGGTAGGTTTATTTGAACAGTGAGAGACAGAATAACAACAACAAAATCCAGAAAAACGCATGTCAAAAATGTTATAAATGTATTTGCATTTTAATGAGGGAAATAAGTATTTGACCCGCTCTCAATCAGAATTATTTCTACGCCTCTATATAAGGAACGAAACAGGTGGACTTCTCCACAATTCTGGCTGTCGCCTGATGAAGCTGGTTGTAATTACTGGCGAAACGTCGTACTTGGATTGTAAATGTTGTGGTTTGGCTCTCCAACACACCAGTGTGCTGTACTAGTGACGAATTGGCATGTTCTGTTTACGTGACAACCCTTAGTCGTTGACTGTGTCGGGTGGTGGCGGGTTTTAACGAGACATTTATATATTTACGCGATCGAAATGCATCTTAATTTCCACATTTTTGTAGCTCAGTAAATACAGATAAATAGGTTTAAACATTGCTGCATGATTTTTGCATTAAACAATATTGCAGAAAACTTGCACCATTTAACTTAATGTTAAACTGGTAAAATATTCATTTATCTTCTTGGTTCTTTCGGTAAAGTCGCGTAGAAGGGAAATAATTAAATAATAAAAATTTTACATAATAAAATACAATTCTTACGAAGTTTCGGCCACAACGCAAGCAGCCGTCCTCAGGTGAAGAACAGGGCTGTCGGAAAGACAGCGTCTGAATGAACACCACCAAGCTTGGCAACGTTTATTTAAGCTGGGTTAGAGGAGGAGGGCGCTTTGACAAAGGAATTTGCATATGATGAATCCCTGCAGTCACGAAAGCTTTAAATCGAAAAATATTCATTTAGTTCAGGGTGGGTGATCCCATGCCAATGCCTTATTCTTGACCCTGCCTCAATGACCTCTTGCCTGTGACCCTTTGCCCTCTCCTCGCCATGCAGCTCTCTTTAAGATCCACAAGCGGAAGATTTCCTCGGCGCCGCTCATTTCCCGGGAAAATCTGCAAAGCAGCAACTCCAGGTCGACAGCAGCACAAACGAAGGGCCAGATTATTAGTCTCGCCTCGTCTTTGACTTGGCCTCTAACACAGCCCAGCTCAGGCTAGAGATACTCAGTTGCTTTCAAAGACGAATGAGCGGCTAAGGCATGGCTTGGATCAGCTCATTAAATTCTGGAGCCTGGCTGGGACCTTGCTCAGGTTAAGCGTGGCATTGAGCTGGCTCACTTGATCCAGAGCCAAGCCTGGGCCGAGTCGTGATCAAGAATATGACCTTAAAGTTATTTAAACCTGCATCATTCTGCTAAGAATCACATTTCCCGATATTATTAGGGGGAGCTAATGCACGTTGGACACGTGGCCAGCAAAAATGGTGACTGGCTGCAAAGGATGGTGATGATAGTGGCAAAGTTGGTGTTGGGGAAGACCATGATCTTAACTGGTTGCAAACAACAAGCACTGGATGGGATGGAAGCTGTGATAATAGGTTTTCCCCTTTTTTCTGGCAACAAAAGAGGTGTTAAGATGTTAAAATACCAAACTGAAACCTTCTACAAGGAATCATGTCTACATTAACCACAATACTTTTTTTTGCATTCTGACCACAAGTATTGTGGTTAATGCAGACATGATTCCTTATTAAAGGTTTCAGTTTGGTGTTTTAACATCTTAACACCTGTTTTGCTGCCAGAAAAAAGGGGAAAACCTATTATCATATTTTAGTACTGGCAAAGGAGGTCCCATGATGAGATGGAAGCTGTCTCATGTTATCTTCCTCATCTGGTATGCAGGTTAGGGGTTCGATTGCGACCCCGACGTCTGCATTTTTTTAGTTTGCATGTTCTCCCCGTGGTGGTATGGATAATTTATCGGGGTCCTCTGGTTTTTCCCTCCACATTTAGAAACATGCATTTAGAATATTTTGCTGCTACAAATTTCGACCTAAGCCACTTTGTTGAGCTATCATTTGTGGCCAGGTCTCTTCTGAAAGATAAGTTAATACAATGGCAGAGCCACGATTTTGAGGTAGGGGGGGGGGGCAACTCCTCCAGCAATGAAAAATGATAGTTGTTAGTAAGGGCTTGTCCCTTGCTTTTTATTCGACGCGTGTGCGGCGATGGCGCAGCCATCGATCGAGGGTCGAATTCGAACCGTGTGTAATCGGCATCGCGCTCGCTGAAGGTGTTTGCCTTCAGGGAAGTTGTGCACTGTATACGCAAGTGCGCACAATTCTGTGAGTCACTTATAACTGCTTTGCCATTACTTATTGCCAATTATGGACTCAAGACTATTGTCCTATCATCTCATAGAGTCCCTGGCACATAATAATATGCTACACAGTGGCAGTGGGGGTCGCAAAATGCCGATTTATTACTAATAAACCCCAATTATCCGATCAAAATTAGGGATTTCGATCGGATCATTGTGGGGGCACGTGCCACCCCCCCCCCCCCCACTGGCTCCGCCAGTGAGTTAATAGCTTAGTGAGCTTTACCCGTTAATGTAAAATATAGTTTAGTTTTATTTGTATATTTTCTTTAGCGATTTGTTCACTTTTTCTGTACTTTGCATTCTTATCGTGTTTTTTGTATTGTTTGTTGTTGTAACGTTCTGACCCGCCCCGACTGGACATCTATAAAAATTAGCTTTGTAGCTCATAGAATTCCTCTAGTATAAATATTATGATTATATTCTGCCAAGACACTGCAGTGAACAGAGAGAGGAGAGAGCACTGTAAGGAGATATTAGGAAGGAAACAGCACCAAAAGGGACTAGAAAAATAGTTAAGTCCTGATTCATGTAGAGTTATTTTCACTATTGGTGATGGTGTTGAGGTTAGTGTAATGATTTAAATATTGCTGCTGCACTCTCCATGGTGCTGAAGCCGATCCACGGTGCTGATTCGTCTGGACGTGCACGGTCTCCCGGAGCTGAGCTACGAACCGGGCGACCACCTGGGTGTGTTCCCGTCCAACCGGGACGAGCTGGTGCACGAGCTGCTGGCGCGACTCCAGGACGCATTGCTCGCCACACAGACCGTGCTCCTGCAGGTTTCCCGGGAGCACGACACTCCCTTCGGTGATTGCACCTCTCTGGGTTGAAGGAAGGTTCTCAAGCGGAAGGTGCAGCTTTCCAGGGTGCTGAATCTGATGCAGGCGTGATGGTGTCCACAGTGCTGTAACTTATGGTAGTGTTATGGTGTCGAGGGATCTACAACTAATTATTCTTCTATGTATGCATATGTTGAACTTATTTTGCAGCATACGTAGCCAACCGTGCTAATCGGAGGTGCTTGTTTACCCAGGAAAGCCTCAATGAGTAATGACTCGTTTTTAGGAGGGTCCTGCCAGTTTTTTGCAGTTGGGGCCAGTAATTGCTTTGTGTATTTCAATCGAGTAATTTTTGGACACGTTCTTTATTGGGCAAATTTGGACCATGGAGCTGGCACTCAATGGCCTACACTAGCAAATTAATGTCACGGGATCTTTAGCGTCCACATTAAAATAAATAATGCTTAATTTTATGGTTAATACATTCACAATATGAATAAATTATGGTTGGCGCTGTATTTTAACCGTGAACCTCTGCAACAAGCAGCGATAGCACTGCGGCTAAGCCATGTCACCACCCCTCCTATGGTAGCATGTGATGTTGTTGACGGAGCTGAAGCTGATAAGCGTGTTTATTCAGGGTATGAAAACTGAACGGAGCTGTTGCTTCCCAGCGTGCTGAAGTTTTAGGAAGTGTGATGGTGTCCACGCTGCCATTTACATTCATTTCCATCAGTTCAAGTGACTGCCATTCACTTTCATTGGGATCATTCAATAATTTTGATAGAGAGCCCTGAACAATAAACCCAACACCAACCCAAAGTTTGACAGGTTGTGATATCGCCAGTTCGCACTTTGTTAGAATCCTCAAATCACACACATCTTTCTTGATGATGTGTGTGTTCCGTGGACCACTTCCCACTGTTTTGTGGACCCTCAGTGGTCTGCAGATTACAGCTTGAGAACCACTGAAATAGAGGGTTATGGAGATCACTTTGTTAGATGTGTAAGTCGCCGTGATGTACTGCAGTCTAGCCAAAAGAATGGCATTCTATCCATTAAACGTAGCTGCCCATGGTTCATATATAATAGCAATAGCATCACCAAGTGGCCAAGCGTTGCAAGTACATCCTCGAGCACAGCATGTTCATAATTAATGTAAACAGATGTCTGTGTAAATGTGTATCTTTTTATGCTCTTTGGTTCTTTCGGTAAAGTCACGTAGGTATGAAATAAAATAAATCATGACGTTTCGGGCGCAACACAAGCGTTCGTCATCAGGTGGGAAAGCATGGTCTACTGATGAGGCAGCAGACCATGCTTTCCCACCTGATATCTGTATGAAACTGTGTATGTTTGACAACTACGATCCCATTAACCTGAATTAGATCCTTAGCCATGAAAAGCATAGGCTGCCAGAGATGTGTGGTATATTAACATGTCTCGCGACTCCTCTAATGTGACAAAGCCTTAAATGAGTGCTTGCTGCTGTATCATTTACTCATTTGGGCAGCCAGGTTGGCCACGTAAGGAATGTGGTTTGCTGGGGAAGATGTCCTCATTCCTGCGTGTATGGTGCAGGCACGGTGAGCGAGTGGCAGGCTGAGGGGCGGCTGCCCCCTTGCTCGCTGGCGCAGGCTTTCTCGCACTTCCTGGACATCACGACGCCCCCGTCTCCACAGCTGCTGCTCCACTTCGCGGGGCTAACCGACGACGAGGAAGAGCGCAAGCGCCTGCACTTCCTTGCCAAGGTGAGGGACACATGGACAGTGTGTTACTGCGAGTCAGGTAAAGGGCCAGTGTTGTATCGAGGGTAAGAGACATGGAGTTAAAGGTAGGATTCAATGTTGCGATTAGATTAGGGTTAGTACCTTACAAATGGCTATGCACTGGGATAGGACTGTATTCATCGGATCATAACACGCACTTTGTGGCTCTGTTTTTTAAAGCAAAAGCTGGGGATGCATCTTATAGTCTGGTAGGTGGGTGTGGGCGACCAGATCGGTGTAACTCTACTGACACCTGCCATGAGTTTGGGGTGCGTCTTGCTTATTTTCTGGAGCGTCGCATAATGCAGAGAATGGAGACATCAAAAAGAGCTGAGTGCCAGGCTGGCGCTTCACTGAGCCGCCACCACTGCGCTGCCCCCAGGGTCAGCAGGCCTACGAGGAGTGGAAGTGGAGGGGCAACCCCTCGGTGCTGGAGGCGCTGTGCGAGTTTCCCGGCGTGCGCGTCCCCGCCTCGCTGCTCGTATCTCAGCTGCCGCTGCTGCAGCCGCGCTACTACTCCATCAGCTCGTCCCCACGCACGCAGCCCGGACAGATCCACGCCACCATCGCTGTGGTCTCCTATCGCACGGACGGTGAGACGCGTGCCCATCGTGGAACCCAATGCAACTTTTATTTTTTCTTCATGGTTACTCAGGAAAGGCCTAAAGGCTCAAAACACCTAGCGGTCTGCAACAATAGCACTATTAAAGTTGTAATTGATAAAAAGTTAACATCTTTATAGAATTGAGCAAAATTATTATCAGAACTTGGGAAAATAAAAGATTTAATGTAATTCTAAAGTCAATACAGTGTGAGGGAAGAAGCAGATAAGTGTTATGACCTGCAGTGTGGTTGTTGAGTACCGTCTGTAGACAAAGTTCTGAACACGAGTGGAGGAACGAATGTATCAAGTTCACAGGAACGGAAACAAGCAGCGATAGTGACTGACCGGCAGTGTAGTGTGCAACTGGAGTAAATCCGTGAGTGCTGGATTATCAGTCAATCTGACTGCTTTACGTTGAAGTCAGTGAGGTAGAAACCGAATACGCCACCCTAGATATGACCCCAGGCAGGTAGCGGTTGATATTGTTGTTCAACAGGTCGTGGTGTAACATGTGCGCCCTCTCCTTGTCCCATGACCCCGTGACCCCTGTGACCCCATGTGCAGGGGAAAATGGACCCCTGCATCACGGCGTCTGCTCGTCCTGGTTCAGCCACATTGAGCCCGGGCACAGTGTGCCCTGCTTCGTGCGCCCGTGAGCTCCGAACCCAGATCCGCGAACCTAGTGATACCAGAAGTGCAACCCCAGATACATGAACCCAAATGCGTGACCCCAGATAAATTGAACCCAAACCCGTGAATCCTTTGGTTTTGACTTTTTTTTATTCAATGCAATTTTGACATCCATTAAAAATTCTAAACATCACTCATTGTTCTTTGTTGTAATTGACATTGTATTTGGTGTCCTGATCATGGTGGTGGCTTTGGTGGTGGCAGGGCCCCGGGGTTCCGCCTGCCCTCTGACCCCAGCCTGCCCTGCATCCTGATTGGTCCCGGCACGGGCATCGCTCCATTCCGTGGGTTCTGGCAGGACCGGCTGCACGACATCGAGCACCGAGGTGCAGTCACAGTCACACGCAACCACAACTACAGTTCAACCACAACTACGGTCCAACCACAACCACAATGCAACCACAAATACGGTTCAACTACAACCACAACTTTGGTTCAAACACAACTCAACAACAACTATGGTTTAACCACAACAAAACCACGTCTATGGCTCAACCACAATTCAACCACAACTACGGCAAAGCCACAACCCAACCACTACTCAACCATAACTATGGTTTAACCACAAACACAACCCAACCACAACTAGGGTTCAACAACAACTCAACTACACTTCAACCACTACTCAACCACAACTTTGGTACAACCACTACTCAACCGTAACTACAGTTCAACCACAACCACAACTCAACCACTACTCAAACACAACCATAGCCTAACCACAATTCAACCACTACTCAATCACAGCCTCATTCACAACTCATCCACGACCACATGTGTCTCCATACAAACACTTACTCAATAGTACTATGTCCTGCATGAAAACCCACATGTTTCTCTGCAATGTGCTGCTCAATATGTAGTTTTAAGGATGTCCCGATAATGTCGATTTCAACAACCACAAATTAATACCAGCTCAACCACCTCTACAACACAACCACCATTCAACAACAACAAAAACCATAACCACCACACAACATTAACTCATGCTTTGCTCAACCACCATGCCACTTCAGCCACCAGTAATCCACACACAGGTGTGTGTGAGATGCACAGGGAGTAGTGGTACAGTGATTAGCGCACTGCACTGTGAAACCATCGACCCACGTTTGATTCCTGCTCATGGCCAACATCAGTGGCGATTATATGAACTGACACGGAGTCTCCATTACGTCGACTCAGTCTTAAATGAGCACCTGGTACAGTGTGTAAACATCAGCATTGGGGAGATAATGGCAGCCTTGTGTGGTACTGGCCAGATCATCCTCTCGTGTGCTGTGTTGGCCTTCATAGCTGCTCGGTTACCGCAATTGCCCCAACAGTCTCTTGAGGCTACATGGTAATCTTTGTCTGTGCTGCAGGTGTGCATCCGTGTGGGATGATGCTGCTGTTTGGTTGCCGGGAGAGGGACGTGGATCATATCTACCGTGACGAGACGGAGCTCGCACGCAGCAAGGGCGTCTTCTCCGAGGTGCACACGGCGTACTCACGCGAGCCCAGCACCCCCAAGGTGAGCACAGTCACCATTACCACCATCACCACCATCACCAGCATCACTACCATCACTCACGTGAGTCCAGCACGCTCAAGGTGAGTTACACCATCATCACCACCGTCATTACCATCATCATCACTCATCTGCCTTAGATGAGGTCAAGCGTGTCTCATGTCTGATGTTCGGGCTGCATCTGTGGCCCCCACACTGCCCCATCCCAGATGTACGTGCAGGACCTCCTGCGCGAGCGCTTGGCTGCCCAGGTGTTCTCGGTGCTGCAGGAGAGGGGTGGGCACCTGTACGTGTGCGGCGACGTCACCATGGCGGGCGACGTCCTCAAGACGGTGCAGCAGGTGCTGAGCCGGCACGGAGACATCTCGCTCGAGAAGGCCGGGCAGATCGTGAGCCGCCTGCGGGTACGTGAGCGCCAGCGGCTTGAGCGGCAAGGGCACGGGGACACACGTTGGGGAGGGGGCGGGGGGTGCATGGGATGTGTGAACACAGGGCAGCATGGTGGCGCAGAGGTGTCTCTCACCAAAACACCAAAAAGTGCTTGGGTTTGATCTCTGACTTGGGTACCTTTCTATGTGAAGTTTGTATGTTCTCCCCTTGTTCTGTATGGGTTTCCTCCATGTTCCCTGGTTTCCTTCCCTATCAAAACACAACGACACAATGCAAATGGTATTGGCCCAAACATCCCAATGATGATACATTTCCAGAAAATTACTCAATTTTGATACATTTTAACACGTAGGCTTTCGTGACCAATACACTTATTTTAGGTTAGATCATTTAAAGGTAAATGTGTTGAAAATCGACCTCTGTCCGACCAAGCCAATTAGTAAGGTGTATGACATAAACAAAACCTGCCAATGTATCACTACTTCAGCACACTGGTGTGTTAGAGAGCAAACCCACAACATTTACAATTTGAATAGATCTTTCACTCGTGATTGCAACCATCATCAGGAAGACATCTAATACACAAAGTGTCACGTTCTGTTCACATGACAAACCTTACTAATTGGCTGTGTTGGGTGGAGGTGGGTTTTCGACACATTTCCAAGTACGCGATCTGATCCAAAAAACGTTATCGTGAATAATGTTAGTCGCGAAAGCCTACGTGTAAAAGTTACTCGATTCGGGTTATATATAGCAACATTGTACCCTTCTGTAAAAGGCTTGGCAGGACCCTCCTGAAAAAGAGTTGAGATGCAATGAAGCTTTCCTATGCAAACACACACATAATAATGAAGTTAATGTATATGCAGAAAGTGTAAATGTTTGTGGTGTCTATTTTTTATCTGTATTTATCCATGACAAACCCATCCAAATAGGGTCCTAGCAAGATGGCAGCAGTATAGTATGGCTTACCAATGTAGCTTGCCACCGGAGATCATAAATGTGGCTTACCAATTAATGTTGTCAGTGGAAATCATCAATGCAGCATATCATCAGAGCTTCCCGATGTATAATAACAAAGCTTACTACTGGAGCTCGCCAAGGTAGCTTGCTACTAGAGTTCCCCTGTGGCTTATTAATGCATCTTAGAAGAGGAGTTCACCAGTGTGGATTATTAATGCATCTTAAACATGGCGGGGCTCGCTAGCGGACTTCACTGACCGGCGTCGCGTGCTGCTCATCCCTCTTGCCACAGGACGAAGGCCGCTACCACGAGGACATCTTCGGCGTGACCCTGCGCACGTTCGAAGTGACCACACGTCTGCGATCAGCGTCTATCGCGCAGAGTGACAAGGAGCACGAGGAGTGAGTGCCGTGCAAAATAAAACAAGAAAAATAATGCATATTCATAAATTGTGTAATGCTTTCCAACATGAGATTGTCTTCAGAAGTATTTAATCAACAGTACAGAAACCAAGACGAATTTCACCAAGGAGATAAAGAAGTGATTCTTAACCTGGGGTGCACGCACCCCCTGGGAGTGGCGAGATGCCCTTTTTGGGGGTGCGAGACATGCCAGATTATTTTTTAAGGTAAATCATCGATAACAAATTAAGCACAGGCACATTAGTACACCTACTTTGTTTCATCAAAGACTATGTATTTATTAACATGTTTTTTACGATTGAGAATCCAAAGGGGTGCAGGCTGCAGTAAAGGTTAAGAACAACTGAGATAGAGCTATGAAATCAGTTCACCTGAAGCTGCTAGATGGATTGTTACATCGCCGGGTTGTGAGATGTGGCAGCAACTTGGGGAGGCTTTCATCCACAAGTGGACTGACCATGGCTGATGATGATGATGGAAGTTGAAGAGTAGCTGGAAGGAAAAACGTGTTTGCACATTTTCATGTAGTCCTTTTGGCTTGGGTTTGCATCTCCCCCGTTGGCCAAAATGGCCAGTTTTCAATATGGTAGGTACCTCAGAGCAACACACATTTATACTGAAGTGTATTCATATTGAATTGGCATAATGTAAAATGGACATTTTAAATATATCCAGGTTGTCTGCAGGATTAGACTGGGCCACCAGACAACTGGGAATTTGCCCCCTAGCCAGCTAGTTCTGAAGTTCAGCTGCAACTAAAGTTTGCGCAACCTTGGGATAGAGCACTCCTGTTCAGGGGCAAACTCACCATCCACGTAACCCGCAATATTGCCTCAAATTGCTGGATTATATTAATGAGTTTTCCTTTGTTGTAAATGGTTCTGCATCATTTGCAGTCTGCCTTCCATATTCAGCTGCAGCCTTGCAGCCTATGCTTTAAGGCTGGACACTGGGTGAAGTACGAGAGTGAAAGCTCGATGCCTTCGATAGTCATTGAATCCGAAATACGCTGAGGATACGTAGCAAAGACAGCTATTAAAGGCACCATCAGTGAAAGAACTGACTGACCACACATCACCAAAATTATCGTAAGGACGCGCAGGTTCATTTGGTTCGGCCATGAGCAATGTATAAATTGTGACGAGCTGCCTAGATCACTCACGGGAGTGGGTGCTCTCTGTCAGCGATCAATGACCAAAGACCTTCAGAAGCTGGGTATCACATTGGAAGAGGCTAAATTAATGACGACTGAATGGGGGCAATTTTGATCAAGCTAACTTTGCTTCATTGCAGGCAGGTGCAGCGTGAAAACAACCTTGCTGATGCAAAATTCCAAAAACCTAATTAACGATCGGAGGGGCTAATGCCGCTTTGTGTCTCACAGGGTTTTCTCGTAAACACGAATCTTCGCCTGTGAACATCACCTGTGTGAGCTGGAGCAGGGCAGAGGAAGCTGCTGTTATCACAAACATCTCACTCACTACCTAACCCGGGGACATTCCAAACTTCAGTCTTCACATCCCATTGCCACAGTCCAGGTTTTCATGTTTACTCATTGTTAGAACATGTGCAGGTGCCCCGATTATTGGAATGTGACGCCAGCACGTGATGATAATGCACCAGTGCTGGGCTCCTACCAGGGCAGTTCTACTAGGAAGCTGGTGGGCTGTGTGCTCTGATCTTCTAGAGAAAGATGATGAAGCTACTGCCAGCGCATTCCATTTTCTCACTGTGTCTCTATGTAAGTCAATGGGTCTCTTTGTGTGTCTCTGGGTTTACGTGTTAGTTTATGTGAGTCCATAGCATTTAGCCATCACATTCCCTTTACTCAATCCACCTGCACGCGTGGACTTTTATTTTGTCTCGACGAACTGAAGCAACTAAATTATTTTCATTGTAAAGCACACAGCCTATACACCTGCACAGCTAGAAGCCTCTACCACTTTGCATTCGTGCCGGGTTGCAGTGATACGAATAAAGAGTTAATTCTATCTCATTTCTAAATTACATGCCTTCTTTATATGTGAACAATTTAGTAAGTCTTGCAGAACATCAACCTTCAAGTATGTGTGGATGTATTTGGGGAGCGGTGGTGTGTAGTGGTTAGCGCACTACACTCTGAACCTGGTGACCTGAGTTTTATTCTCAGCCATGGCTGCCCTAAGTTGTTAAAATTAGTAACTGGTGCAGTGTATAAACAGGACTGGGGAAACAAAGGCGGCCAGGCAAGGTGTGGCCACCATCCCCTTGTTCACACTGGCCTTAATACGTGCTCGTTAACAGCACTTGCCCCAACAGTCTAGTATATGTTATAGGGGGATCTTTATCTTTGTAGGTGTGTGTTATTTGTCATAATTATTGTACAAAGTCCAGCTCCTACTGGCACAGGTGAGGCCCAATATAACATTAATTAATCAAAGCAGTATGTACTTACTCACTGCCTTGGTACTTTCGTTGTTACAAAAGAAAACCTGTCACCCTGGTCTGCAGTAAATTCTTGATTTTTCATCGAACAAATTGGGCTAATCTCACGTTGGTAACGGTGTTTGTTGTTTTTGCATTTTTGTCTTTTTATAAAAAATACAGGAATAGTTTCATTGCATTGTGAACATTTGGCACAATGTCGCATTTTAAAATGTAACGTTGGGGCTTTCATTGTAAATGGATATATAGCAGAACTTCAAAAAATCAGCGTGACAATAATCTGCACCCCCTGCTACCGTGACCACTCCTATAATCTGTCGGGGCGGAGATTCTAAAATCCAAATCCACTCACATGAGCCCGAACCCACGAGTTTGTCTCCAATTTATACCTACAGCCTGTCAACAAACTCTCAATAAACTTTACAGTGTCCATCCAACACATTTTGAGGATGTCTATATTCCGTTCGCCAGATGACACGCGACATCACCGCATTTACTGAAGTTCTACTGTAAATCCAAAATAACTTTTAAGGAGTTTGCCAAAGTTTCTGTCACAGTATATTTTTGTGTCGGTCGTAGTGCAACATTTAAGCGTCAAATATATTCGTAGGCCTCCGAGTTGACCAAATTCAGGTCTCGGGATTTGTGCTGCTTTGCAAATGTTACAAAATTATATCTGTGCATGGCATCTGTGTGTTCGTTTATGCAACCATTTGTTATTTGTTACAAGTGCTTTATTAAATGAAGATATACTCCAAAACAATTGAGCGTTATTTAATTTGTGATCTAACAGTGCACTGCACTATGAACCTGTACTCCTGAGTTGAATTCCCAGCCAGGGCTATGCCATCTGTAACAAAACGGTCCTGGGCACCCCCTTTCACCAACCTGCAATGACATCGTGAAGTATGGTAAAATGACCTACAATGACATGGGGAACCCTTTAGCTAAACTTTATTTCCGTTAAAAAGGCACCTTATAACCAAGGCCCTGTACATAAAATAATATTTTAACATTTTTAATACCATTTCATAAAAATGTAAATTAGATTGAGCTTCAACCATACATTGAGTACAATCAGTTTAGTTTTCATCTGCGAAAGCCAGTTTGTAGAGGTATATTTAACGGGTTTTTTTAAAACAGCGGTCAGGCAGTCCCTTATCAGACAAGGGAATTCGACAGGGTAGGAGCCATAAAACATGCACAGGACCCAGTAGCTTCGTGTCACACTCTAGGGATGTTTGGCAATTCTTAATGGAGCAGTCGAAAGGGGCAGTAGGGAGAAATAATATTTTCAGATAGCAGGTTTCCTGGTCATGTCGGACTTTATGGGTCAGGAGACCGACTTTGAAGATAAAATGCCATCGTACTGGCAGCCAGTGCAGTCCACGGTGCACAGGGGATATGTGACTATTCCTAGACGTTACCAGTCAATAAACTGGCTGCTTCATTCTGCACCGGCTGCAGACGATGGACATAAACCCATAGTAGCCCTAGGTATAGTGAGTTGCAGTCATAAAAGTGAGTGGTCACGTAGACATAAACCAAGGTGGGAACATCAGCAGAGGTAACCAAGTGTTCTAATCTGGGTGATATTCCTCAGATGGAAGAAAGGAATTGCCAACGGCTCACATGTAAGATGTCGGACTTCGTTCACAGAGTACGTAGCCAACCGTGCAAATCAGAGGTGCGAACATTTGTGATTTAAAAGTAAAAGCCATTGTTAAAAATAACAACAGGATTCCATGTTCGGTTTGATGTGGTCAGCTTCGCCACCAACCTTGCGATCACAGAATACATTGCTGGAATAGCTGAATCCAAAATTTAGCCAGCATTGTCATCCAGCCAGGTCTCAGTGATGCATACAAGATACAATGTCGCAAGCCGATCTGTTCAAGTTCATTTATTTGGTACTAGCGGTTAGTACCCGGCGTTGTCCGGGCGAAAAAGGCAGACACATGTAGTTACACACGCAAATCCATTGATACAGACACATAAAGTTACACGCACAAATGGACTCACACATACATACATAGACTGAACAACAACAACCACCATTCGCCACTAAGTGGTGGTGACGTCACAACAACGCTTGTGCCAGGCTATGTGTACCTTGAGGCCACGTGAAGTGTCGAACGGCCGCTGGCAAGAGGTCACGGGGCAAACCCAGATGGCACAGGTCGACTGACTGAGACGACTGGCTGATGCACCACCTGTGGCCCCTACTGTGGCAACTTTCTGTGCTTTAGCCACCCGGCGCTCCGCTCATTGTTGAAGGCATCGCTCCTCCACCCTCCGTTGTTGTTGGAAGGTGACTGCCTCCAACTGGCCAGTAGCATCCTTCAGGAGCCTCCTCCACAGTGGCCGATCTTGACACGGCTGGTACCAGTCATCCGCAAGTGGACTCAGCTCCAAGTCCTCCTGTAGCACCTCACTCCATGTCTTCTCCAGCCTGTGCCGCGCCCGTTTAGCCCCCTCGATCCGGCGGAACAAAAGCTGTTTAGGCATGCGGTGGTTGGCCATGCGGGCTACATGACTCAGGCAACGCAGCCTTGCCTGCCGGAGGTCACCGATGGGACTTTGTCCACATCTTTCAAGGATTTGTGAGCTCCTCACACAATGCAGCCTGGTTAAACCCAGGATGGATCATAGGCAGGCCAGCCTAAATGTTTCTAACCGGCGAAGATGTTCCATTAGGGGGGTCCAAGTTTCGCAAGCGTAGAGAAGGGAGGGAATGACCGTGGCCGAGAAGACCTGAAGCTTCGTACGGAGTGATAGACCAGGTAGCTTCCACACAGCGTTACGCAGCCAACGAAAAAATACTGCAGCTCGACTGATTCGAAGTGAGACCTCTGCTGTTAAACCGGGGCCGGTCATTAGCACACTGCCCAGGGAAACTCTCCACTGTCTCCACAACTGCCCCATCACCAATTGGGAGTTGTGGGGGTGGAGTGTCCGATGGTACAAAATAACCAGGCAGGTGCTTAGCTTTGGTTGGGCTGATGGTAAGGCCCCACCTGTTGGTGGCAAGCTCCAGGTTCAGCAGCAGCACCTCGAACTCCTCCTCCGAGTGAGCAGCCATTAGCAGATCATCGGCATACATAACGTGGTTGAGCAATAGGGAGCCATCCCTTGACCGCACCCAGGCATCGATCAGCCTCCCATTGTATCTGTAGCAGATGGAAATTATTCCGGTACAGGCATTGAAGGCTCGACGAACTACGTGGTCAAATGTGGGAGCCAGAGGACATCCCTGTTGCACCCGAAGGTGTAAAGAGAATGGCTCTGACTCACGGCCACGTAGTTAAGACGCGGGGCCGCTCACCATCATGAAGGTCCTTAAGGATCGTGATGAGTGGGTTCGGGACTCGGAAAGCACGAAGAGCAACCCAGAGGCCAGGCCTACTGATGGTATCATAGGCCTTGAGCAGGTCAATAAAGCACACGCATGGACTAATATGCACACATGGACCTACAGACACGCAAAGAAATGGAGTTACACTGACTAACATGGAGGCATGCACACACAGCGACTAATACACACGCACATGGACTGAGACACACACACACACATATGGACTGACACACACAAACACATGGACTTACAGACGCACACATGGAGTTACACAGCCATATCGACGTACACACATACAGCGACACACACACATACATAGAGTGACACACACATTGTCGTACACACACATACACATGTGGACTGTCACACAGACATTCACTTGAGATATACACACATGGAGTTGCACACACATATATGGACGTACACACATACAGCGACTCACACACACACACACACCAACTCGCACACAGCCATACGTGGACTAAAACACACATTGACGTAAACACACATATGTACTTACACACACACACATATGGACTAAGACACACACATCAACTTACACATACATAGACTGGCACACACATAGCGCTACACACACATACCCATATGGACTGTGACACACAGATATCTACTTTAGATACACAGACATGGATTAACACACATGGACTCACACACAGATGCATTGACTTACACACACACATCGAGTGACACACACATGTATAAACTTACACACACATGTGGACTAACACACACACATATGGACTGACATACACATCGACGTACACGCACACAGATCGACTGACACACACACATGGACTAACACACACACATAAACACTTTGACGTCCGTTCGAAAAAGACACTCACATGGAGTTAAAGACACGCATGGCTCTACACGCACACACACATGGACTCAAAGACACACACATGGAGTCAAACACACACATCAATGGGCACAGAAATCCGCGATGATGGCACAGCTATCAGTATCGCAGTACTACGTATGAGTAAAGAGCGTGACGTGAGTGATGGAAACAATAGAAATGCATTGAAGAAATAAGCTGAAATCACAGACTGGCAGTAGACCGTGGCAGCGTCATAAAAGCGCAGCAAAAAAGGGGAAATTGAGCAACCCAAAAATCCAAAAAGAGTTTTGTGTACACAAACATAATTATTGTAACATGTTAACTTGTTTCATAATGGCAAACATTGAACCTGAGTTGTTATCTTCACACAAACATAATTATTGTAACATCTGTGAACTTGTTTCATAATGGTAAGCAATGAAGCATATTTTTTATCAGCACACAAACATTAATATAGTAATGTTTGTCAACTAATGTGTTTAACAATAGTAAACAATGGACTTGAGTTGTTAGCGTAAGAAGCAAGGAACTTTGTACTTACCATAGGCGTGTTGAGGCCTTGTGCCATGCGTAGCCCCAGTCCTGAATCCGCTGTGCATGCAACCGCTCGTTCGCCATCTGGCAAGATCTCGAGTTCAACCTCGCTGCTTCCCGTGCCTCGGCCAATTTAGAAATTTTAAATTTGATGTGATCAGCCAATTTCGACTTAGCACGGGGTTCGGAAATCCCCAACTGGGCATCCACGGGCGGATCAGCGTCCTGGCCATACATAAGAAAGAAGGGAGAAAACCCCGTTGCCGCGTGGGGAGCCATCCTGTAAGCGGCGAGGACACCTGGAATCTGTAAGTCCCAATCCACTTGAGCTTCGCACACCTGATGGCACAACATGGACGTAATCGTCCTGTGGAGCCTCTCCACCATCCCATCAGTCTGTGGGTGGTATGGGGAGGTACGCACCTTTTTAGTGCCCGAAAATATTTTCCCCTGGTCGGTCAGCAACCGCTCCGGTGCACCTTTGTCCAAGACATAACCCTGGACAAAGGCCTCGGCAACGGCCGCTGCCAACTGGTTGGCAAGTGGCCAAGCCATGAGCCATCGAGTGAAATATTTCACGCCAACCAGCAGGTACTTGTTACCTCTAGGTGTCACCGGGAAGGGCCCCAAAATATCAAGCGCAACAAGTTCATTGATGCGCGAGACCTGAATAGATTGCAATGGTGGGTTAGCCGCAATGGGAGGCGGTTTCCGTTGGGCGCACTGCACACACCCTTTGAGAATGGTGGACACATCCTTCGCCATACCCGGCCAATAGTAATCACACTGGAGCAGAGCAAGGGTTTTGTGAAATCCCAAATGTAACAGTCGTTCATGAGCGGCTAGAACAACCCTACCCCGCACAGCAGATGGCACAACAAGCCTATGACATAGGGACGCACCGTCCCAATTCATAAGGAGGCCCTGTTTCACTACCCATGAGTCGACGCCAGCTGCACCCTCATTGGAACCATTTGCCTTGCAACGCAGCGCGAGCAGGGACGCGTCGACCATTTGGAGGTGGCCCCACTCAACGAGGGACAATTTGAGCAAAGAATCCGCACCCGTCGGAGAGAAGGGAATCTTGGGTCGCAGTGCATTGGCTGCAGTGGCCAGAGCTGCTGGAGGGACGAGAGTCTGGGGTTTGCAATGTCCCGATCCCAAAAGACACGCACATTCCATACGCGGTGTCAACCGTGACAGGGCATCCGCGTTGGTATGGCGGACACCCTTACGGTAAGTAGCTGTGAATTGATAGTCCTGGAGGACCTCCAACCATCGGGACAACTGGCCCAATGGCTGGGCAACGCGAAGCGCGTATTGAAGCGCCGCGTGGTCTGTACGGACAGTGAAGTGTCAGCCGTAGAGATACGGTCGAAACTGTTGGATGAAAACCACAATAGCCAGTAACTCGCGACGGGTCACGCAGTACCTCTGTTCCGCCGGCGACAAAACACTGCTATCATAGGCGACAACGTGTTACTGGCGTCCGTGTCAAGCAAAAACGGCTCGGTGAAATCAGGGTAACAAGGGCGGAGCACTCACCAAGGCGTCACGAAGGGAGCGAAAAGCGGCTTCCTCCTCCGGCCCCCAGCGAAACTTCCCACCTTTTGCCGTCAAGGCGTGCAGGGGTTTGGCTATGGTGGCAAACTGTTCGACGAAACGCCGGTAATAGGAGGCAAACCCAATAAAACTACGGACCTCGCTGAGGGCGTTGGCCAAGAACTGACACAATGTGTCTTAGCGGGATCAGTGGAGATACCCGAACGGCCGACGATGTGCCCTAAGTACCGTACCGATTCCCGGAGTAAGTGGCACTTTTGTGGCTTAAACTTCAATTTGGCGGATTGCATCCTGAGGAACACTGCCCTCAAACGTTGGAGGTGCTCCTCGAACGTTCTACTAAAGATGATGACGTCATCCAGGGAAATTAAACAGGTATCCCATTGAAGGCCGGACAAAACCAATTCCATTAACCTCTGGAACGTTGTGGGAGCTGAATGGAGTCCCATGGGCAACCGATTGAACTGAAAAAGGCCCACAGGTGTCCGAAACGCGGTCTTGGGTTTCGACACCTCATCAAGGGGTAGTTGCCAGAATCCCGATAGCAGGTCCAATGTGGAAAAATATCGTGCCTCCGCTAAAACATCCAAGGATTCGTCCATCCTGGGGAGCGGAAATGCGTCAGCCACATAGATCTTATTAAGGCGACGGAAATCAATGCAAAACCTCAGGAACCCATCGTGTTTTTTCACAAGCACAATGGGAGCCCCCCATGGACTGGATGAGGGCGAAATGATGTCAGCAGACAGCATGTCATTAACAGCTGATTGCACATGTTCCTTCTCGGCTGGGCTCAGCCGGAAGGGATTTTGCCGAATGGGGGCAGCGTCACCCGTGTCAATGTGGTGACGTAATAGGTCAGTGCAACCAATATCATATTTGTGCTTGCTGAAAAACGTCCGAAAATTCGAGCAACAGGGCGCGTAATGCCGCCAGCTGTGAACTAGACAGGTCACTGGTTCCAGAACACAGTGAATCCAACCACCCCTGATCACCCCCCGATTTAAGATGCGGAGCCGGAGCAGTATCAACATGCGCTATCAGCGGCTCTCCCACGGGCACCGGTGCTGCATGAGCGAGCACGGTACCCTGTGGAATCACAGCTGCCCGTGACCCCGCATTTAAAACCACAATGAAGGGGTCTCCCCGCACCACCGTCTGAGCCACCGCCAAATCCAAACCCCTGACAGCTGCGTTAGACGCGCCTAACAGTACACCATGCTCCGTCATACCCACCCCAAGAGATTTCCGCAAGCGTAGGGGCACTAACATCTGTGACCCCGGGGGTACGCGTACCGTCTGGGTTACCATCGCCTGCACCGTTGCACAGGCCGTGCATAGATTGCTGGGGGAGGACAAAAATGCTATGCATTGGCCCGAGGGGAGCTTGATGCAACCCTGATCAATGAGGATCTTGATCGGCATTTTAGCTAGAAAATCCGTTCTCAATAAACATGGGACCGCAAGAGACGATGAGACCAAGACAGGTCCCGACAATTTAATATCCCCAATGCAAATACCCGCCCGGATCTGACCCACAATACCCAAGGATCCTCCATTCGCCGCATAACATGGAACGCCTACCGGGAGTAAGGGTCGACATTGAACAGGAAGAATATTATAAATAAGGTCGGAAATGATCGTTGCCGACACCCCCGTGTCAACCAAAACACGAATCTCAACACCCTCGATCGACCCAGTAACCACGGATGAACCGGCCGACGCAGCCACCACCCTATGGGAAGGCTCAGACAATTGGCCTGGTCCGAGCTCCCGTACGAACCCCCCTCCCCACACTGAACCGGCACCCGAATGCCGTGGCCCATCAGGCGTGGCGCAGTGACTCGTGTGCAACATGTGAGTGGGCCGAGCATGTGTGGTGCTGCGACTTGCCGGGGACTGTTGGGACGACTTGGGACCTTGGGCGTCGTCCAGCCGAGGTCCTGTAGCGCGTTGACGTGGAGCCCGGCACCCAGAAGCAATGTGGCCTCGAAGGCCGCAGTTGTAACATGTGACAAGAGCCGTCGCTGATTTCGGTCGCTCCAGCTTGCGTGGCGTTCACAGGGGTGAACGACCTCCAGACCTCCAGTCCCCCGACCGTGCCGTGGCGAAGACCTCCTCCTGTGATAGAGCGCCTTGGGGTTCGCTGGGCACCGAGGCTGAGGCAGAAACTGAGGCTGAGGCGCAGACAATGACAGGCCGTTTTCGTTTAAGAACTTCGTGCGCGTGAATGCTCGTAGCAACTCGCAACGAGCATATATCTACCTCATCTGCCGCGTTAATAGGAACACCCAAGTCCTGTGCCAATGCCAAAATCTGCTTCGTGACCATTGCGTCTTTGCCCTCTTCGTTCATGCGAAGAAAAGCGGCGTCAGCGAGAGCCAGAAGTGCAGTGCGGTAGGCGAGAGGAGTTTCCGTCTCCCCTTTACGGCGAGCATAGAAGTGGTGGCGACAGGCAGACGGCAGTCCGTAGACCCTGGCCATCAGGCGAAGCGCAGCATAAAGTGTGGAGCAGCCAGACCTTGGAGTCGACCTGAAGGTGGCCAGAGCGTCATCATCCAGAGTCGCTGGTAGCGCGCGCAGTGCCTCGGCATCGGTCCACCCCGACATCTCTTGGTGAGCGAGGAACCTCCGTTGAAAGGCTCCCCAGTCGCCTCCCTCAGCTTGAAAAGCCGTCAACGTGGGCAGTCGCTGTTGGAATGCCTGCCCCTCTCCCGGCTGTTGATTTTCCCGCGCAGCGCCGTCGCCCAGGAAAATGACGGCCCCTTCCACGGGTTGTTCATGGCGACATTTGTCGCGTCACGATGACGTGGGAGACGGTGACTGGAACCCCTCCCTCACGTGATGCTCTCGGTTTTCGCCAGTCAATGAACTGGGCGGAACAATGGCGCCAACTTCAGTGTTCGTGGCGGGAGCCTGATTTTGGCGCCAATCCTTGCGTTGCGGCGCGATGCTGGTGCGAGCTGGCGCTTGGCGCCAATTCTCTCCACGGGCACCAGCCCCCCCTCCTCCAGATGCAGTAATCTCCGCCAATATGGAGGTAGCGGCGAGCAGCAACTCAGCCAGGCGGGAGTGAGCATCCTGGAGCCCACCCCCCATCTGCAGCGGTGTGTCAGGTGTCCGCGATGGGTGCTGCAGCGTCGGCACCCCCTCTGGTTCCCCGTCCAAGGCCTGCTGACTCGTCTCCTCCTGGTCATCGCCCTGGCCCGGCTCGTGAGTACGAATTGTCTTCCTGGTATCCATCACGTGAAGACAGTTTCACTTCTGACTCCAGTTGTAATGGTGTAAATTATGCAGGAGACGAGTTGACGGAGGCAACACGTATTTATTTATAACACTTTACAGTAACAGTCAGCTATACAGCCTAGGAACACAGCCTACGGCTACGCGTGCCTGACACCGGCTACGCTCTCAGGTCCTCCGGCTATCTAATTCCTAGAGGAGGCTATCTGACCCGACCTAGCCAGGGTACGGGTCCCAACCACTGGCCCATTGGACCCAGCCCTGATAAGGACGTCGGGCCGGGGGTTCCCAGGGTCTCACCACTGAGCCACACAGAGTCCCGGCCCTGATAAGGGCGGCGGGGCTAGGGGTCCCATGGTCCTATCTAGCTTGCTCCGTCTTCCTTCTTCACTGGCTCCAACAACTCCCCGAGCTCTCTCGCGCATAACCCTATATACCCCCCTGCCCCAAGGGGTGGGGCTATATGCGGACGTCGATGTAGCCACCCCATGCACGGACC